TTCATCTTTGTCTCCCACGTGGGTAGCAAGGGCCCAAACACTTGGACCACCATCCTCTACCTTCCCAGCCCACCATCAGGAAGCTGGACTGGAAGCAGACTAACCAGGACTACACCCTCCCCCAGGTTTGGAGATGTTTCTGGATCTTCTTCCTGGAGCCGGTGCACAGTGGAGCCAAGAGGTCACATGAACCAGCAGGGGCAGCCACAAGCACCCTTGGGAAATACCCCAGTCTATGGCTCGGTAGCTTGCAGAAAGGTCTGAATGCATCAAAATTACCAAGGCAAATGGTGCCGTGCAGTCAGCTCTGGGCATGGTGGCCTGGGCATGGCCCTTCGGCCCCTCCTCTCCTCAGTGTTCCAAGACAAATGGTGCCCAGTCACCCAGTGACACCTGGGCCTGCAGCAAGAAGGAAGTCTGCAGAGTCATGTTCTGGGCTCAGACCAGACGCAGGGCCAAGTCCCCAGGAGCAGGCAAAGCACAGGCTGGAGCCGGTGGCAGAGACCCAGGCCAAAAAGAATTTCATTTTTCTTCAAATAATTTGATCAACATATATTTGCAATTGAAATCATCTTCTTGGGAAAAACAAGCTGTCAGACTTCCTGACAAGGACTTTGTGGCTTGGGGATGTTTGTGTTTTTAACAGGGACAAGCAGCAGCTGAATGGAAGACGCCACAGTGTCTCTAGCACTTAGGGACTGTGACTGTGATGCAACAGGTCAAACAACAACACCTTCCAGCTGCAACGCTGGCATCCCGTATGCAAGTACCAGTTTGACAGGAGAGACAGATCTTCCATCCGCTGGCTCACCCACATGCTTGCAGCAGGTAGATCTGGGCCAGGGAGAAGCCAGGAGTCAGGAACTTAGCCTGTGACCCAATGTGAGTGACAGTGTCCAGATGCTTGTCCCATCCCCCACCACCTGCTGCATGCTGGCATCAATAGTGGACCAGGAATATGAACCCAGGTCCCTGGGCTGCAGGACATGGATGCAGACGGACACACTGGTGCCAGATGCCTGTGCCCTAATGGTCATTTCTCAGTCTCGTGGGCAAATAGGTTTCACGAGCTGGGAAAGGCATTTGGGGATAGGAAAGGGCATGTTCTTGAGGGGAGAGTGGGGAAGGGATATTTTCCATGGGACCTGTTCTTCCCGAGCAGACCCGGCCCCCTGGCCCCTCTCCCAGCCTGAGCCTTACAAGGGCACAGGAGTCCCTGCAGGCGGAGAAGATAAATGGGCTACCCTGGCCAGCAGCTCACACAGCCTCCTGGAGTGGAGGGCTGCAGAGAACAGGGCCATGTCGTCTCTCCAGATCCCTTCTGGAGCTAAGTCGCCATTGCACCCCACCTCACCCTGGCCTTGGAGTCCCCAGCCGGAAGCCAGCTGAAGTGTGGTCCAGGACAAACCAGACTTTGAGGCCATGACACCTGTGACTTCCATCCAGCCTGACGCATGAACATTTCTATGGGGTAGATGGTTCTAGAAAAAGTGAGTCAGTGAGTCAGGACACACCCTGGGGAGGGAAACCCCTCCCTTGTCTTGGCTGCTTCTCCAGTCCGTGTTTTGGGTGAAGAAAGGCTGGCCTGGGTCGGCGGGAGGCCTGACTGAAGGGCTCTGCGACACAGTCCAAAGCTTGGAGGTAGAGAGAGAGGGTGAGGCCGTCCTGGTGTGCCTCGGGGTCCGCGGCCCCAAAGGCGGCAGTGGTCCAGGGCCTTGCAGGTCCCCAGAGGACAGGGCCCCTCAATCCTTTGGCATATCTCGACTAGCTCCAGGGGGCAGGCTGGGCAGAGCTGGCTCCACCCCTCCTGCCCCAGTTGTTCTTGGAACCAACTATGTTTATTTCAATGTTATACCAGGGAGGAACCATTGTAGGTAGGCCAAGGGCAGAGAGGGGCACAGGGCAAGGTGGGAATTCATCCAGGTCATCCTGTGCCACCCCACCCTTTTGCTGGGAGTGGACTCCAGGGTCCAGATCACGTCAGGACAGGCCAAGCTGGGTCTCCACAGGCACCTGAGCCATGCTCACCCTGCCTCCTGCTGCCCCACTCACTGCCTGAGTCTCTATCCCGAGTCTGGCCCTTTGGCCACCAGAGAATCAGGGCCGTGAAGATCATTGTTGGGCTACCCCCTGGCACCACCTGCTTTGACTTCTGGGACCTCAGCCTTCAACTTAGTGAAGACCAACAGGACAGGTGGGCCCTGGCTGCCAGATCTGTCAGCTCAGCGCCATGCTGTGGTACCTGCTCTGGGGACAGACAGCACAGTGGCCAGGCTGCGAGGCCTGGAGAGCCACTCTATCCCGGAGTGCCTGGAGCAAGGACAAGACCTAAGCACAGCTCAGCCCTGTCCTCCCTCCAGGGACAGCATGGGGCCTACGCTCGTGTTGCTGCTGCTGCCTGGGAAAACTGTGACTTGCCACTGCCTCCTCTCCTTCCCAGCCCCCAGCCCACCATAAAAGGCTTCATTTGCCATTGGGCCCAGTAGGAAGCAGTGGGCATCCCACAATGGCCCTCAGCCAGTTCAAGGGCCACTCCCTCTAGATGGGCCTTTAACTACACCCCCAGTCAGGGATTCATCTTTTATTTATTTGAAAGGCAGAGTTACAGAGAAAGAAATCTATCTGCTGGTTTACTCCCAGGCTGGGGCTGGACCAGGCTGATGCCAGGAGCCTGGGGACTCCATCCGGGTCTCTCACATGGGAGACAGGGAGGGGCCCAAGCATTTGGACCATCTGGCGTTGGCCTGCCAGCTTATACTGCCAGGTGGTTAGATCAGAAGCAGAGGGGAACAGCCAGGAGGGGAACTGGCACTGGCACACAGGGTGTGGGCATCACGGGAGGAGGTTAAGCCACTGCCGCACAGCACCAGACCCAATCAATTGATCTGGTTGCTCAAGCACCTGACCACTGCCCACATCCTCGATGTCCCTTTGTAGATGGGCTTAGAAATGAGTGTGACTGGCACTGTGGTCTGACAGGCCAAGGAGCTGCCTGTTTCTGTGCCAGGATCCCATATGGATGCCAGTTTGAGTCTCGGCTGCTCCTCTTCCGAGCCACCTTAGACACAATCTGCTGTACAAGAACATTGGAAATCCACGCAGTGTTGCACGATATACATTTTCTATGAACATTTTGCACACCTTCCTTTCTGCATTAATTTTTTTTAAGTACACCAAAATAAACTTGTGTCTTATATCCATGACTGCTGTGAAATATCCTTACATGTCTGCAGTAGTCATGCTTCTTCGGGTTGTAAATGACAGAAGCAAACTCAGCTTGATCCAGTTGAAGTAAAATAGATGGCTGACTGGAGGAGGCTGGGGGAAGCAGCGGCTCTCAGGATGGGCAGAGTTGCCATAAGCGTGAGTGTGGTTCCGGGGGGCTCAGAGCCCAGAGTCAGAGCACCCCAGCACATTTCCTTTCGTATCGTTTGCTCAGGATAGTCTGCATGGTGACAGCATGGCTGCAGGCCACTCCAGGGTCTCCTCTCTATGACAAACATGCGGAAAAGTCCCAGGGGTTATGACTGGATAACACAGCCATCCTGGACCAACCACCGTGGCCAGAAGATGGAGTCAGATGCATGCCCACCCCTGAATGGCAGGTGTTAGCATCACAAGAGAGGGGCTGATGCTGAGCTGCCAGCCACAGATCTACCACAGGGACCCGCAACCCCAGCAGCAAGCAAAGCCAACCAAGAGGGGTTTTCCTTGCTGATCAGGAACACCATGGCTGGGTTTACTCCTGGGATTTCCAGCTGTGGGGACTTCGAGAACTTTCTTAACCTCTCTGTGCCTCGTGTTTGTTTGTTTGATTGTTTTTTAAAGGTTTTATTTTATTGCCTTTGATTTGAAAAGCAAAGTGGGGTGGGCCAGGCATGCTTCATCAGTCATGCCCGCTGACAAGCTCTGGGGAATGGGGAATGACAACTTACTGCCTAGAGACACCCATGGATAAGGCCACTGCACCCATAGGTGAGGAATGACTCCTGAGGGACCCTCAACGACAGGGCCACTGTACTTGCAGGTAAGCAAGGGGACTGAGACCTGGTGGTTTGCAGGGGAGACTGGAAGGTCTGTATGGGTCAGACTGACTCACCAGCCCACATGGGAGTCCTGAGGTGGGCTTGTTAGCGCAGAGCATCGCTGACCACCACACGCTGGGGGCCTGTCTAGCACAGGGAGATCCCAGTACCTGACTGAATGTTGGAACAGGGGACAGGTCACATTAGGCAAGACCATGACACTAACCAACACATGAGAGAACCAGGTCAGGGGGTACTTTCCATGGGGGATAAGTGGGCCCCAACCTTGTGGAAATACAAGTCCCGGTGGTTAGCTCAAGAGTTGGAGTGGTGATGGGCTGAACTAGGTGTGAACATGGAACTCACCAATACTCACGGGTACTGGGGCTGAGAATAGGCTGGGTGGGTCCAAGCTGCCGCACCTCCATGTGCATCCTAAAACAGGGTGTGGGGCGGGCCGACCCACAACATCCTCCAGCTCATATAAATGCCAAGATGGAGGGGCAGGCTATGCTGGGCAAGGGTCTAGAACCTGCTAGAGCATGTGAGATCTGGGTCTGGGAGTGGGCTGAGTGGGAGAACAGGGGAAACTCCCCTACCGGGCCATAGCGTTCACTGATAAGCACGTGGTCCAGACCCAGCGATGGGGCAAGCTGGGCAAGGTAGTCCCCATCCTTTGGCAAGTGTGTGGGTTGGTTTTGGAAGTGGGCGGACTGGGCAGGGCCGAGCAAGCCTTAGCTCACTGGCAAGTACAGAAACCAGGCTGGAACACAGGTCATTCCGGGTAAGGGTATCACACATACTGGCTTACATGAGCTAGGGATGGTCGCAGGGTCCAGCGGAGAACACCAGCGTGTCAAGCCCCCACTTCCGCCTCTGACTTTCCTCCCAGGCTGCTCTGCGCCTGCCACGCGCAGCACGATTGGCTGCGCCGCCGCACGTGACGCCGGCTGGCGGCGGCGGTTGCCCGGGTGACGGCGGGAGAGGTGGCAGCTGGCGGGCTAAGCGTGGTGGCGGCGGGGCCAGCGGCAGGTAAGCACGTCCCCCGCCCTCGCCTCGGGCCTCTGATGAGTCGCCTCTGTCCACGCGACTCCGCTGGCCCCTCGGTGGGCGGAGTTCTTGTCGTGGACGGTCGTGGGCAAGGGCCCGAGGCGACCGCCTGGACGTCCTGGGGACAGGCCGCGCTGCTCCTCCTCGCATGCAGTCCCTGATCTTTGCCACAGACGGCCAGGCTTGCAGGGGGCTCCGGAGGTCGTCCAGCTGGGTGGGGGCCTGGAGCTTTGAGATCCACCCGCTCAGCTACCCAGGGTCCCAGGCCAAGCTTCTCCCTAATCTGCACCAGCAGAATGCCTGCTATGCAAATCCCTCAGTCCTCCCCTCACCCGGCTAGCTGTAGGCCCTTAACTTGTTTCCTAAAGAAATGCAGAAGCTCAGCCCTGTGCTGTGGTGTAGTAAACTAAGCCTCCATCTGCGGCACTGACATCCCACATCATCGTTGGTTCAAGCCCCAGCTGCTCCACTTCCCATCCAACTCGCTGCTAATGCGCCTGGGAAAGCCATGGAGAATGGACCAAGACCTTGGGACCCTGCGCTCACATTGAAGGCCCAGAAGAAGCTCACGGCTCCTGACTTTGGACTTCCCCAGCTCTGGCGGTTGGAGGCATTTGGGGAGTGAACCAGTAGACTGGAGATCTTCTTTCTGGGTCTCCCACAAGAGCCATTCTCTACTGCTTTCTCAAGCACTTTAGCAGGGGGCTGGAAGTGGAGCAGCTGGGACACAAGCCTGCTGCCTATATGGGATGCTGTCTCTATATACTGAGGTTTAGGCTGTTATGCCATCACACCAGCACCGTTTTTTTTTTGTTGTTTTTTTTTTTTTTTTTAATTTGTATTCCAGAGCCTTCGAAAGTTCTGTTCCCTTCATCTGGGGTTCATTTTATCACCTGCTCCACTCACCAGACCCTCTGTTAGGTTCAGATGATACAAAATGGGAGCATGACGCTGTGCCTTTGTAAGCAGGCAGGGGAAGTAGGTGTGGGTACAGTTGGTCCTGGAGGAGGCAACCTTGCCCCAGTGGGGGAAGAAGAAGGAAGAGGAGAGGGGTTCATGGGAGACTTCCTGAGGGTGGTCAGGTCTGAGCCAAAGTTTGCTGAGGAGGTAGGCTGAGAGCCTGGGGTGGTGGTCAGCAGATCACCCTTGGGAGGCCTTCTGGTAGGGTGCAGGGGCTGGTCTGGGCCGTGACTGGTCCAGAGGAAGGCTGGCGAGGTGAGTGGTCCTTAAGCAGCGACTGGCTGAGCCCTGCTTGCTATGTCCATTATATGTGAGATGTTCTCTCTGAGTGTGTTTGAGCATCTGCTGTGTGCCAGACCCCAGGTGCAGAGCTGCACAGGCTCAGGGAACGTGGCTTCACGTGGAGGCACATCTTAGGGCGGGGCAGACACGTGACTGAGGGCACCTTTACACCAGCTGGAGTGGGGCAGCCCAGGACTGGAGGGATAGGCTGAGCCATTAGGAAGGGTGGCCTGGGCAAGTCTCTCCAGGTGGGGGACTTTAAGCAAGGGCCTGATTGAGATGAGGTGATGGCAGAAAGGGCCAGGGTGGGGGCAGCTCCTCCAGACCAGAAGTGAGCTCTAGGGGTCCAGCAGTGTCCACCCTTGGTGGTGAGTGGGGCTCCATATGCAGAGCACATGGCAGATGGAAGAGGTCCAGGTGTATAGGGCTCTGAGCATTGGGCTGCAGGTGCCTGGAAGCAGGTGGAGCCCCCAGGAGGGGTTGGGGGTCCCAGAAACATGTGTACAGGGCGTGGCAGTGGAGGTGGGAGAGGAGGATTGTCGTCCTGTTTCATAAATGAGGATGAGCTGTCTGTGCCAGTGCCTTGGCTCAGGTGCGGGAGGACGGCGTGTTGAGTGTTAGAGGCCCCATGTCTCGGCCCCTCGGCAGCTGTGGCCAGCCACTCTGAAGGACTGCCCAGGGAGATGGGAGCCCAGGGGAGCAGGAAGGTGGAACCATTGGCACCAGCCATTAGGAAGGCTGATCCATCCACGGGGGCTATGTGCAGCAGTGCGGAGGGCTGGAGTCCAGTCTCCCTCCCATCCCGCTGGGATTAGCGGGGCCCCTAAGGATAATCCAGGCCAGCGCCCCCGTGGATGGGTGCTGGTGTCTGTGCAGTAGGTGTGAATGACAGGAACGTGTGAAGAGAACTGCTCCCCTGCTTGGCAGGGCCTGGAGAGCTTCCAGCTGTTTGGCAGGGCCCGGTGGATTTCTCTCTGACCACCTTGATGCAGTCTCACCCCCTGTTTGCATGGACACTCAACCACCCCACTAAGAATTCTGCAATCTATTAGGCATAGTTTGCCCCTGTGAGATGGCTTTTACAACCAACATGAGCTTAAAAGTTAATGTTACTGATAATGTCTTGGTGAGTGGGCCTTTAACTGCGCACAGGAATACAATTAGGCCCATGCTGTTTCCAGACACCTTATTGTGTGCCTAACCATTGCTCTGAGATCTGGCCCAAATATTTAGCATGCTTTCTGGGAAATGGCCTGATAAGAGTTTCACAAACTAATGGAAGTGATGGGAGTATGGGTTGAAATTGCTATGACAAAAAATATAGCTACTGGGACCCTAAAAGCTATCCTGTTACTGGGATCCTAAAGGTTATCCTGTTTTAATTACTGTGACCCTAAAGGCTATCCTGCTATGACAAAAATATAGTTACTGTGACCTTAAAGGTTAGCCTGTCCTTGCAACTCTCAACTCTTTAGAACATAGTAAATGTAGTTGCTTTGGCTGCCTTCATAATTTTTTAACTAGAGGAAATATAGGGTGACTTTACTAACATCATGTATACTTTTGATTATTGTTTGATCATTTATGAGGTTGTAGAGCCTGCAGTTGTAGAGGGATTTAATGTTTAAAACTTTTGTCTTAGATTTTTATATTTTTTCTCTTTTGATGTATTTCTCTCATTAAGTGATGGATAAGTTATAGAATAAGAATTGTAGTAGGAATGTATTACTGAATAAGATGTGTCGTCTACTGAGAAAATGTTGGCTGCAACATCAGAATGGATAATGCCCTGTCTTAAGGTGAAACTATCTGTAGAGTTATCTTTGGAAACATTTACTTGCCCATTGTAGAGCAGAAACCTAAATGGAGTAAACAAGGCTCATTGCTAATTGCAGTTCTTTCCATCGTTGTAACTCTGGCTTAGTTAACAAACTGTGTGGGCCTGCAGACCTAATGACCTTTGGTGCCAATACCCTAATCCCCATAAACCAAGGTCTCAGACCTTTTCCCATGCGTAATTCAAGGTAGGGGTCTGGTTGCCACAGGCGGCACCAAGGATGGGACCCAGACTTGAGGGAAGTAAGTAGGGGCTGGCAAGCCGAGATAAGCAAAGAATGTGGGGTCCTCCCTCATTCACCTCTCAAGCTGTTGTAAATTGTGCCCCCCTTGAAGCTATGTCAAAATGCCCTAAAAAAAGACTGTGTACTGCTTCTGTATAAATAAAGCGGACAGCTTTCTCGCGTAGTCCACAATGATGTTGGAATTGTAGTGATCCGTCTCTTTTTTCTTCTTTCTACGCCTACTTCACACACCCTTCTCGAGCTCCGAACTCAGCTGGAGCTGGACTCCGGCAGATGGGTCAGCAGAGAAACAGCTGTGGTGCTCACAGGTGCCAGGGTCAGGGCATGGGCCTTGCCGGGGGTGTCCTGCTGCCCAGTGTGGCCTGCCGCCTGGCTGTGACTCCCATGTGTTGGGAAATGCAGCTTTGCTCTCCTGCGTTTGCCTTGCAGAGACTCTGCTGTGAGCATTCCGGGCAGCGGTTCACTATGGGCGACATTCTGGCTCACGAGTCGGAGTTACTGGGAATAGTCAGAGAGGTGAGTACGGGTGCCCTGTGGGGTGGCTCTTCTGTCGGCACATCGACACCGTCATTCTGTTTTCCATGTGTTTATAGATTGATTTTCTGAGCTGGAATCTTATTTTTTTAAAACTTACTTATTTATTTTTATTTGAAAGGCAGATTTACAGAGAGGAGAGACAATAAAAAGAGAGGGAAAAGAGAAAGAGATCTTTGGTTCACCCTCCAAATGACCACAATGGCCAGAATTGGGCCTGTCCAAAGCCAGGAGCTTCTTCCAGGTTTCCCACATGGGTGCAGGGTCTTCAACTGCTTTCCCAGATGCCTTAGCAGACATTTGGGTGCTGGGACCAAACAGGTGTCCTTATGGGATGCTGCAGGTGCACCTTTATCTCCTGTGTCATGGCCCCACTGAAAGCTTTTAGAGTCGGACACACAGCTGAAGCGGTCTCCATCTTACTGCAGGGTTGAGCTGTCTGTCAGACCTCCAGAGATGAGACAGCAGAGCAGGAGGAGGCCCCTGCTTTGGAAATGCTCGAGGCTGTCGCAGCAGAGGGCTGGGACCAGGCCTGGGCACATGGCCCAGAGCAGAGGGAGACCAAGGGGTGCAGCCGGGTCAACGTGAGCTGAGGGGGCGGTGTATAGAGCACAGAGCGGAGGGCCTGTGAGGGCCCTGCTGCCAGATCACTGGTGACAGGGACCCTGGTGTGTGTCTGGCTTTGCTTTATTAATCTTCATTAAAAAAAAAGATGTATTGATTTTTAATATTGGAAAGTCAGATTTACAAAGAGAAGGAGGGACAAAAAAATCTTTCATTTGCTGGTTCGCTCCCCAAATGCCTATGCTGGCTGGAGCTGAGGCGATCAGGAGCCAGGTCTGCCACTTTGGCGCAGGATCCCAAGGCGCTGGGCCATCCTGTGCTGCTTTCCCGGGCCACCAGCAGGGAGCAGGAAGGCAAGTGGAGCAGCCGGGACATGAACTGGTAGCCACCTGGGATCCCAGGCACATTTAAGGCAAGGATTTAGCCACTGAACCATCCCAGTGGGCTCTGATTAGTGAGTTCTTAACAGGATTCTTAACTACTCCTCCAAAGATAACAGATTCTCCCGGATGGGTGGCAGGGTTCCCGTAAGATCGTTACTGGTGATACTATTCAGCTGGTATAGTCACAGCTGAGGCAGGATGTGTAGATGCTAAAGCAGAGAAGAATACATGTATTTATGCACTGCTTCTAGTTTTATTTAGTTATAACTGAGCAAAAATATATTTAAGATGTAGAACTTGGGCCCGGCGCGGTGGCGCAAGTGGTTAAAGGTCCTCGCCTTGCACCCCCGGGATCCCATATGGGCGCCGGTTCTAATCCCGGCAGCCCCGCTTCCCTTCCAGCTCCCTGCCTGTGGCCTGGGAAAGCAGTCGAGGACAGCCCAAAGCTTTGGGAACCTGCACCCGCGTGGGAGACCCGGAAGAGGCTCCTGGCTTCGGATCGGCATAGTATCGGCCCGTTGCGCTCACTTGGGGAGTGAATCATCGGACGGAAGATCTTCCTCTCTGTCTCTCCTCTCTGTATATCCGCCTTTCCAATGAAAAAATAATAAAAATAAATCTTTAAAAAAAAAAAAAAAGATGTAGAACTTGATGTTTTGATATAGGTAGATGAAATAATCACGACGGTCCATCTCTTCTCCATCCATCACCTCACTTAACTGGGCAAACGGATTTTCCACCAGCAGGTTCATTCCCCGAATACTTACAGCAGCTAGCGCTAGGCCAGGCAGGAGTCCAGAGGTCAGACAGTCTGGTTCTCCCATGTAGGTGGCAGGGACTGAGTACTTGGGCCATCGTGTGCCGCCTGCCAGGGTGCATGTGACAGGAAGCTGGACTGGAAGCACGGGCTGGGACTCGGCCGTGCACCACCCAGTGGCTCAACAGCCGCACCGAACACGCACCACAGAGCGACCTTCCGGCTCTACTCTGTGGATTTTTTGAAATGCCTTCATACACACCACGCACACACGCACTCACGCACTCAGTCTGCTTTCCTTCGTTGTTCTGTTGACAGCTTTCAGAGGGGTTCCATAGCTTGGCAATGATGAGCATGGGGGTTCAGAGCGCCCCCTGGAGCACTGACTTTCCTTGCTCTGGGCTGCAGTGGGGTCGTTGCGCTGTGCAGGAGCTTTCTGCAGGAGTTTTCCGAGTTGACTGCTGTTTGCACCCCCAGCAGCTGGGGCTGAGGCTCCTGTCCCCCTGCATCTTTGCTGACCGTTGTGGGCCTTTTGGTAGCAGCTGTCCCGGCAGGTGCTAGGTGATCTCCGTTGGCCATGGCTGGGTGATTAGTGGTGTTGAGTGCCTTTTCACATCCCTGTCACCTTTTGCGTGTCTTTGACAAAATGTCTTCTTGGGTCGTTTGCCCGTTTTTCAATTGGACTCTTTATTTTGTTGATGTGGAGTTGTTTGATTGCATTCTCTTGCTCTTTTTTTCTTTTCGTGTGTTCTCTTTTATAGTATTTAGATTTTGCTGAATTTGAAGAGACTCTGAAGACGTTTTCAAAGGAATGCAAAATCAAGGGAAAACCATGTAAATCAATGGGTGGATCTTTAAGAGACTCCAAATCATTGATAATTCAGGTAACAGTTTCCTTATTTTTCCTCTTTTTAAAGCATTTTTAAATTATTTGAGAAGCAGAGAGGAAGAACTTCCATTTACCAGTTTATTTCCCAAATACCCTTGGCAACCAGAGCTGGGCCAGGCTGAAACGGGGGTCCAGGGCTCCTCCCATCTCCCTCCCGAGGGGCCCTGGGTTTGAGCTGTCACCCCTCACTTCTCTGGGCATGATGAGCAGGAAGCTGGATTAGTGGTGACTTCCCCAGCTCTGCCTGAGCTGGAATGAAAATTAGAAACTAGTAGTCGTTACTAGAGTGCACACAGATGCATCTTAAAAAGAATAAAAGTGTAGGTATTTATTTGAAAGGCAGGGATGGGAGTGGCACCTGGAGAGGGAGAAAGAGAGACAGATTCCAGCTGCTGGGTCACTCCTCAAGTGCTCAAAACAGCCAGCACTGGCCCAGGCTGATGTCATAATGGACCTGTGTGTGGCTGGCAAGGACCCTGGTACTTGAGCCATCACCTACTGGGTCGTATCCCCCACCCACTCCCAGGTCGTATCTCCTACCCCCTCCCCATAGCCTGCACACCAGCAGGGAGCCGAGTCAGGACAGGAATCCAGGCTCTTGAGTGTGGGATGGGGACAGCCCAGCCAGGGAGGCTCACTGTGTGCAGACAGGGCCTTAGCTGGTGGGGCATCCTTCAGGGAAGCCGCCTTGCTCCCCAACCCTGGTGTCTCAAGTTGCTTCTGCATAGAGATGAGCCCCTCGGAGCTGCACACAGCTGCGTGGGGACTACAGCAAGTCCCTCTGCCCCACGGAACTTGTGTCAGGTTATGGGATGGAATGAGGACACAGACAGGCAGCCCAAGTCCTGCAGTGTGTCCCAAGTCGGCTTCGTCCAGACAGAGTGGCTGGGCACTTGATCACTGGTTTGCCTTCACATTTCAGCCCAGCTCCGTTTGAAATGCTTGCATGTCTCCTTTGGTACTGTTTCTGTAGTTGTGATTTTAAAAATAAATAAATAAAATTTACCATCTCCACCATTTTATTTTTATTTATTTTTTAAAGATTTATCTTATGTCTATTGGAAAATCAGATATACAGAGAGGAGAGACAGAAGAAGATCTTTTATCTGCTGATTCGCTCCCCAAGCAGCTGCAGTGGCTGGAGCTGCACCAATCCAAAGCCAGGAGGCTCTTCTGGGTCTCCCTCATGGGTGCAGGGTCCCAAAGCTTTGGATCATCCCCAACCACCTTTGCAGGCCACAAGCAGGGAGCCAGATGTGAAGTGGGGCTGCTGGGATTAGAACTGGTGCTCACATGGGATCCTGGTGTGTGCAAGGCGAGGACTTTAGCTACTAGGCTACTGTGCCGGGCCCCATCTTCACCATTTTAAAAAAATAAAAGGGTTTAATTTTTTGATAGGCAGCCTGCACCTTCCTTTGCTGCTAGCCAGTGCTTGTGGGGTGCTGCACCTGCTGCCATGTGGGTGTTGGCTGTGACTGCCGTGGAGGCCAGACACGCTTCCAGCCACAGGGCAATAGCAGTGCCCACCTCCCTGGCCTTGGCATGTTGATGATCAGAGTTCTCATCCCAGAGCCTTGAGTGGCCTGTCCCACTTGCCCTACATAGGAGGGGTCCTGTGGTGAAGCCTGCCCCTGTGGCCTGCTGTGGAACAGCAAGTGCAAAGGCAGCTGTGGGTATTGATCTACGTGGCCGTGGGCCCCCTGGCATCCAGCCTTGGTTCTGTTTCGAAGGCTGTCCATGTTTTCTGCTTGCCACGCTGTCCAGCCCTGACCCTGCAGAGGGTGGGTACAGGAGTCCCTACAGCAGGTCCCAGCAGTCTGCCTGAGTAGCTTGAAGCCCTGAGTGGTCTCTGACCCCTAAACAACAAGACAAGGACTATCTCCAGTGTTGGGGGCACTGCGAGAATTTGGGGTGTCAGCAGGAACCCTGACCCCCACTCAGGTCCCGGCTGTTTTCCTCTCGGCAGAAGGATCTCCTGGTGGCCTTTGACAGCGGCGACCAGAAGACATTCTTCCACCTGTGGGAGGAGCACGTGGCCAGCGCGGTCCGAGACGGCGACTGCACGGCCCAGAAGCTGCAATTCTACCTGCACATCCATTTCGCCATCTTCCTTCTGAGACACCGTGCGGGGAGGCCGGTAGGTTTGCTGTTGATGGATCCACGAGCAGGGGGAGGTGCGCAGGGGAAGTAGTGGACTTGGGAGGCTGCTAGTTTTCCCAGGGGAGCCCTGGTCGAGTTTCTTGGTGTTTATAACCATGTTGCTTGCAAGATGCAGGCACGTGGCGTCCTGATGTGTGGCTTCCTACCTCCTTGCCAGCAGTTGCTTGTTTAGCTTACGGGAAGATTAAAGAATTTCTGTAATTAAAACCGTGTTGTCTTCCTAAAGCTGTTAAGACTACTTGGCTACTTAATATTTACATGAAAGGGCGTCAGGAGGTTCATGGGATGAATGAATGAGAAGATAATAGTCATTCGACATGGGCTTTTTTTTTATTTAAAGAGAGGAGAGATGGACAGGGTTCCTGTGTGTGCAGGGACACAAGTGTCCACGTGGGATGCTGATGCTGTGGATGGCAGCTGTATCCAATGTGTCACAGCGCCAGCCCATTTGTATGCCCATTTAAAATTTTTGGTTTTAATTTAAAAATAATTAATAAACATGTTTTGGGAATTTATTTTTTATAAGAGTTATTTTTATTGAAAAGGCAGATATACAGAGAGGAGGAGAGACAGAGGAATCTGTCTGAGGGTTGACTCCACAAGCGGCTGTAACGGCTGGAGCTGAGTCAATCCAAAGCCAGGAGCCAGAAGCTCTTCTGGGTTTCCCACACGGGTGCAGGGTCCCAAGGCTTTGGGCCGTCCTCAACTGCTTTCCCAGGCCACAAGCAGGGAGCTGGATGGGAAGTGGAGCTGCCTGGATTAGAACCAGTGTCCATACGGGATCCTGGCACATTCAAAGGCGAGAACTTTAACCGCTATGCTGTCGTGCTGGGCCCTGGAATTTAATTTTTAAGTGCATTGGTCAGAAGAAGATCTCTAACTCAAAAAAATGTGTGTTTTCTTTTTCATATTTTTTTTAAAGATTTATTTTTATTATGTTTTTATTGGAAAGACAGATATACAGAGAGGAGGAGAGACAGAGAGGAAGATCTTCCATCCGATGATTCACTCCCCAAGTGAGCGCAACGGCCGATACTATGCCGATCCGAAGCCAGGAGCCTCTCCCACGCAGGTGCAGGGTCCCAAAGCTTTGGCCTGTCCTCGACTGCTTTCCCAGGCCACAGGCAGGGAGCTGGAAGGGAAGCGGGGCTTCCGGGATTAGAACCGGCGCCCATATGGGATCCCGGGCATGCTAGGTGAGGACCTTTAACCACTTGCGCCACCGCGCCGGGCCCTTCTTTTTCATATTTTAAAGATTTATTTTAAAGGCAAAGAAAGAGAGGTTTATTATGCTTGTTCATTCCCCGAAATTGCTGCAACAGCTGAGCTGGGCCAGGGCAGTGCCAGGAGCTTGGGGCTTTGTCTGGGTTCCCACGTGCGTGTCAAAGCTGGTTCACTGTCTAGATGGTCACAACTACGGGATCTGGGCCCAGGCTGAAGCCAGCAGCTAGGAGCTCATTCCAGGTTTGCCACATGGCTGCAGGGACCCAAGGACTTGGACTACCTTCTGCTCTTTTCCCAGGCGACAAGCAGGGAACTGGATTGGAGGAGGAGCAGCCAGGACTTGGACCCGCGCCCATATGGGATGCTTGGCACTTCATTAAGGGGGTGGCAGGTGGGAATTTGAGATGATGTTTGTTGAGTAGAGAAGGCGCATCTGCCTGGACAGGTAGGGCTGATGGCTGTGACCTGGCTGAGCCCCAGGTGCATGTCCCCCTCCCCTTCCCCAGGACAAGCAGGAGCTGGACGACAGAATGTCGTACTTCAAGACCTACCTGGAGACCCGAGGGGCCGCGCTGAGCCAGACCACCGAGTTCCTTCCCTTCTACGCCCTGCCATTTGTGCCCAACCCCGTGGTCCACCCATCATTTAAGGAGCTCTTCCAAGTGAGTGCCAGCCTCGAGTACTCCGGGTTTCTGACTGGTAACTTCCAAAGCTGCAATTTGCATAGATGATTGCTTTAAAACCTACAGTCATCCAGTGAGACTGGGTGGTCCGTGTCTGCACCATTAGCCATCCTACACTAGCTGTCATATACCGATCGGAAGCCAGGAGCCAGGAGCTTCCTCTAGGTCTCCCACACAGGTGCAGGGTCCCGAAGCTTTGGGCTGTCCTCAACTGCTTTCCCAGGCTACAAGCAGAGCGCTAGATGGGAAGTGGAGCTGCTGGGATTAGAACCGGCGCCCATATAACCTCCCGGGCATGCAAGGCGAGGACTTTAGTCGCTAGACCACACTGCCGCTGGCCCCATCTGTCGTGTTTCTTGTGCATAGCTGTAGACCTGGGTAAGGCACAGTAATGCCCATAGAGTGATACTGTTTATAACAGCAAAAGACAAAACCCAGAAGCAGCCCAGTCACGCGGCGACGGGCTGCTGAGTCTGTTCCACTGTGTTGTGTTCATAGTCTCATGTTCCCGTGCTGGACTGCGACGCCTGTCAGAATGTAGGAGCTTAGCCACATAGTGACTGACTTTTTCTTTTTGAGATTTATTTATTTATTTGAAAGTCAGTTATGGAGAGAGAGTTCAGTCTTCCATCCACTGGTGCTCTTTCCGAGATGGCCATAATGTCTGAAGCCAGGAGCTTCTTCCAGGTCTTCCACAGGGGTGCAGAGGCCCCAACACTGGGCCATCCTTTGCTGCTATTCCCTGCACATTAACAAGGAGGTGGATGGAAGTGGAGCATCTGAGTCTTGAACCAGCACCCATATTGGATACTGCCACTTTGGCACCTCAAGCAGAGGTGCAATGTGCTACACCAAGGCTCCATGTCCCACCCCCTCCCTGACAGTATGAAGTAAGCCAGGTAGAAGGGAAGACAGGTCATAGTGCCTAGGGTTAGAGCTCCAAGCAAACAAAACAAAAGGAGTGGCCCCCTCCTCTCCTGCAGACATTGAAGGGGAAAAAACAAACCGAAACCCTATCCCACCCACCCTCCTGGTGGGAACCCTCCCACCACCACCACCACCACCATAATCCGAGGCCCACGTGGGCTTGCGTCCCTCTCAGTCATGGAAACAATGTCAAAACAAAGTTTTATAGAAGGCAAAGATTCTTTACCTGCTTGTGGGGCAAAGTTATTTTCTGTTTCCATGACAAAAAATGACTTTTGGGTCTGGGAGTTTTGGCATATGTGTTGATGTGTGTAAGCAGTGCCCACCCCGGAGGGTACAGCACCTGGTTCACCCCCTGGTGGACTGCACGGAGTTAAGCCTGGCTGATGTTTTCCGATTATTAGCTTCAGCAGATTTTCTCACGCCCTGCGATGCCATCCTGTGGGCTGTGCTGCGAACGCAGACTGCCGTGGGTATTTTAGCATCCTGTCCCCAGTAAGGCCCGCTGCTTGTCCTGTCTCAGTATTGAGAGAATCCTGCAGTTACGGACAAAGCTGGTTTCACGGGGAGCCCCGCTCCAGGCTGCTGGCTTAGGCTGTCTGCCCACCCATGCGGGGCCCTTCCCCTTAGGCCTTGGCTTTGTTCTCTGGGTTCTCTACATTGTGTCCTGGGGAGAGCTGTGTGTTCCCACCGGGAGCTGCTGGAGTTCACTGCGTCTCCTCCTACCTGTATCCCCTTGGCCCTCTTCTCTCACACCTCCTCCAGGCACCTGCTGCAGTGTGCTTCCGCTTCCCACTGCATCTTCCAGGACTGTTTTCCCCCGATTGTGTTTGTGACAAAAATGCATTGAACATGAGGCTTTGCATTGGTGCCGTTGTTCAGCGTGCTGCTCAATACTGTGAAGTGTATTCCTACAGCTATGCACGCCACGTGTTTAATTTATTTTTAATCATATAAATTGTATTTTTGATAATTTTTACATATTTGATTAGAGTGTGAAGGGTCAAGGGCTAGAGGAAAGTTGGATAAGACCATTGTTTTCACATTCTCTTTTTTCTGGGGGAAGGGGAGGATAAGGGGAAAAGCCACACCCTGCCTCCCAGCCATCCCACGGTCCCTGATGTGGGCGTGCTCCAAGGGCAGGTGTTTTATTAAAGTAAACTTTTATTTATTTTAAAGGCAGATTGATAGAGTAAGAGAGTGAGAGGAGGGGGGAAAGGCAGGAGAGAGATAGACATGTGTTCTGTGTGCTGGTTCACTCCCCAGATGCCACGTCAGCTGGAGCCAGGCAAAGCAGGGAGCGCCTGCCGCCCCAGGCCCAGTGCTGACTGGTGCCATGTCCCCTGTCTGGGACTCTGGCAGGCCACATGCCGGGTGACTTACTCATATCTGTTTTCTAGTTCTCCGATCCACCACTCTGTCATGTTTAATTTATCCTTCAGCCTTCCTATAGAATTTGTCATTTTTTTTTTCATGCAAATCCTTTTGTCTTTATTCAGGCCTGCTGGGTGGTTTCTGCAGGGCCTGCACTCACCCACCTGGCCTTCACCCAGCCTGGGCTTCGTGGCCTGCTCGTTGCAGGATTTTTTTTTTTGCTAGATTTTTGGTCCTGCTGAGTTTGGCTTCTGCCTCACTTGGGGACTTATTTCTTATTTTTTGTTTGTTTTGTTTTTTTATTTGTTTGTTTTGTTCTTTGCTTTGATAGATGAGTTTATTTTACTGGGAACTTGAGGAGATTTTTTGGTGACTCAAGTACAGTTTGTTTCTCTTTTGGTGACCCAAAAGGAGTTTTCTTCTTATGTTATGGTATATTATTTTTCCCAAAAAAAGTTGGGTGACAGACCGGATGGAATGATTGGAGATGGTGGAGGCCTGGGGTGGGGGCAAAAATGGAGAGGAAGACAGAGCTTGGGGAGATGGGAGGTCTGTGGGTGTGGGGGCGTGGCAGCCCAGGAAGACCGTGGGGTGGATGCTTGGTGTGGGCTGCTGTGGCTGGGTGGCTGGCTGCCCAGAAGGATTTGTGGGCGGAGCTCGAGTCCTTGGTGTCCCTCGCTGCAGAGTGTGCACTCACTTCCAGCTGCAGCTCCTGACTGCAGTGCCCTGCTAACACAGACCCATAACTGAGTGCCTGCTATACGCGTGGGAAAGCCTGGTGGGCTTCCTGGCTCTCGGCTTCCCAGATCCTGGACCAGCCCTGGCCAGTTTCTCTCTTTCTCTCTCCCTGTGTCTTTGCCTCTCAAAAATAATTTTTTTTAATTAATTTATTTTTATTGCAAAGTCAGATATACAGAGAAGAGAAGAGACAGAGAGGAAGATCTTCTGTCCGATGATTCACTCCCCAAGTAGCCACAATGGCCAGTGCTGTGCTGATCCAAAACCAGGAGCCAGAAACTTCCTCCAGGTCTTTCATGTGGGTCCTGGTCCCAAGGCTTTGGGCCGTCCTCGACTGCTTTCCCAGGCCATAAGCAGAGAGCTGGATGGGAAGTGGGGCTGCCGGGATTAGAACCGGCGCCCATTTGGAATCCTGGTGCATTCAAGGCGAGGACCTTAGCTGCTAAGCCACCGTGTTAGGCGCTCAAAAATAAATTTTTAAACAGGTATAAGGCAAATTCTCTGGACAAAGTTTGTGCTTGACTTTCCTACGTAAAGATCGTTAGATACTTGTGTATAAGTAACTTTTTTCCTTCTTAATAAGCACTATTTGAGACGGTTTCTGTGTAAGAGACCGTTCTCAGTGTGCTGGGCCGTCTGTGGCGGGGTGGTTGCTGGCCTTTCTGTTCCCTAGCTGAGGCCTGCGGCACCAGGCCTTCCCTTTGGGAACCTCTGGGTAACGTGGTGCTAATTGTTTGTGTCACGTGCGGTGCCACGCATGCCTAACTGTGCTGCTTACTCTTTGGTATTCAGCTAATAAGGTTATTATGGGTGTGTTTAAAGCCCATGAAATATTCAAATCATGTCTGGGGTTATTTTTTCCCTGCTTACAAACTCCTCTCTTCCTTTACGGGATGGATATTTGAATCTTCAAGCTTTTTTGTGTTGTTGTTTTTTTCAGTTTCACATCACTGGTGAATCTAGTTTTTGGTTTCAGTAATTCCTGCAGGGATATTAACCTGAGAGCAGCAGCTTGGCAATTCTGTCGTCACTCGGCTATCTGGTGTTCTTATTGTTGTCTATCTCTTAATTTTTCTTTTTTCCCTTCAGGAATCCTGGATTCCAGAGTTGAAGGTAAAATTGGAGAAGTTTCTAGCATTGATTTTCAAAGCCAGCAGCACGCCCAAGCTCGTGACCATCTATGTATCCTTTACAAGCAATTGGGGAGCCCTTGGGATGTTGAGGCAGATGTCTTCTGGGGAGCCTGTCCTCCCCCGTACAGGTGAAGGCAGCATTAGCGGGGGGGCTTGCCAGGGCCTGTCCGGGGTCCGTGTCCAGGGCGCTGAGTCCTCAGGCTCAGCCAGGGCCTGTCCGGGGTCCGTGTCCAGGGCGCTGAGTCCTTAGGCTCGGCCAGGCCTTGCTGTGACGCTGTAGCCTGCACGCTGACAGGATGGCAGGAAGCAGTCTGGAAGAGAAGTGCGTCGTCATAGAGCGGTCATCCCCTACTTTCAAGGCTGGGTGCCTTGGCAGCCATCTAACTGGACATTTGAGTTGTGACTGAATTTGAAACCACTTTACTTGATTCGCACACCATGAGATTTTCCCATCAGGGGTGTCTAATCCAACCATTTTTAGCACATGTGCAGAGCTGTACAATCATTGCCATAATCCAGCTCAAATTAGGGCAGGCTAGAAAACTGTATTGACATCTATTTGAAAGGACCAGAGAGAGGGAGAGGAAGGAGACCCCAGTCTGCTGCCTCTCTCCCTGGGTGCCCACAGTGGAGGGTGGGTCACGCACACGCCAGGAGCTCGGAGCTCAGGCAGGTTCCCATGTGGATGCCGAGAACCCGGCCACTTGAGCCACCAGCGGTATGGGAGAGCAGGTAGCTGGACCCAGAAACAGCCTGGACGTGAGCCCCAGGATGCAAGCCTCAGCTGGGACATTTGTTAGTAAACAGGCTCACTGACTAGCCGTCCCTAGGGAGCCAGGTCCAGCCACCCACCGGAAGCTCAGTAGTCCTCCCATGATACTTGTCTCTTTATCTGAAGCAAGGCTGTGTCCATGGTTATTTCATAACAATGATGTGACATTCAGAATCATGGCATTGGTGCCTGCTTCGTGTAATGAAACATGCAGGCTCCTCCTTCCGCTGCCTGTCTAACCCCACAGTCCGGGGCTCCCTGTTCCTAGCCCGGCTCTTGTCCCTGGGGTCCTATGACCTCTGTCTCACCTCCCTCTGCTTGCCCAGCCTGTGGGGTCCTCTGTCAGCCCCCCTAGGCTGCCGAGGAACTGTCTAGGTCAGATACGAGACAACTCTTCTGTGTGCTGTACTGTTCTGAAGCCTTTGGTCAGATCCATCCCAGTACCCAACACTTACAGCCTTTGTAGATTGGCCCTGTCTGTCCTTTGTGTGGTTTCTAGTGAAATTTGAACTTTCCAACTTGGTTTCATACTCTAATATGCTTAAAACTTATGGGTGTCCATGCACCTGGTACAACGGCTTAATGGCTAAATCCTTACCTTGTAAACTCTGGGATCCCATAAAGGCTCCAGTTCATGTCCCAGCTTCTCCACTTCCCGTCCAGTTCCCTGCCTGTGGCCTGGGAAAGCAATGAAAGCCTGGTGACCCCGCACCCGCATGGGAGGCCTGGAAGCAGCTCCTAACTCCTGGCTTCAGATTGCCTCAACTTTGGCCGATGCGGCCATTTGGGGAGTGAACCAGCAGATGAAAGATTTTTCTCTCTGTCTCTCTCCTCTCTGTAAGTCTGATCTGCCTTTCCAATACAAATACATAAATCTTAAAAACAAAACAAAATAAAAAAACTCACAGCTGCTCATCTGTTGGGGTTGTATTAGTGAGTTGGTAATGTACTAGTGTGTTAATATAGAACCCACTCGGGGCAGGCATGAGCAGCAAGACATCCCTGAGACTTACTCCCAGTGTTGGTAACTGTGAGCTGCTGATGTTAAAAGTCCTCAGGTCTGTGGCTCCTGTGGTCACATTCGTCCTACTTTGAGGCTGATCTGAAATCTAGCCGGTGACTAAGTGTAAGCGTTAAATGCCTTCCATTACATGGCAGAATTTGCAGTTCAGTTCACCACACTAAGCTTCTCTGTGATTGAAATGCTGTGGTGGGGAACCAGGGTTGCCAAGCCAAGACCCAGACAGGCCCCGTCTTGCCGGGTTAGGGGTGCAGGAGGCAGGCGGCATGCGGCCTGGGAACTCCTGGTGGGCGGAGCCTGTGCAAGGTGCTGTGGCAGTGCTGAGGCAAGCTGCATGGGATCGGCTCACTGAGCTGAGGGATCAGCCTGGAGCAAGCCGGGGCCACGCTGCATGGGATCGGGCTCACTGAGCTGAGGGATCAGCCTGGAGCAAGCCGGGGCCACGCTGCATGGGATTGGCTCACTGAGCTGAGGGATCAGCCTGGAGCAAGCCGGGGCCACGCTGCATGGGATCGGGCTCACTGAGCTGAGGGATCAGCCTGGAGCAAGCCGGGGCCACGCTGCATGGGATCGGCTCACTGAGCTGAGGGATCAGCCTGGAGCAAGCCGGGGCCACGCTGCATGGGATTGGCTCACTGAGCTGAGGGATCAGCCTGGAGCAAGCCGGGGCCACGCTGCATGGGATTGGCTCACTGAGCTGAGGGATCAGCCTGGAGCAAGCCGGGGCCACGCTGCATGGGATTGGCTCACTGAGCTGAGGGATCAGCCTGGAGCAAGCCGGGGCCACGCTGCATGGGATTGGCTCACTGAGCTGAGGGATCAGCCTGGAGCAAGCCGGGGCCACGCTGCATGGGATTGGCTCACTGAGCTGAGGGATCAGCCTGGAGCAAGCCGGGGCCACGCTGCATGGGATTGGCTCACTGAGCTGAGGGATCAGCCTGGAGCAAGCCGGGGCCACGCTGCATGGGATTGGCTCACTGAGCTGAGGGATCAGCCTGGAGCAAGCCGGGGCCACGCTGCATGGGATTGGCTCACTGAGCTGAGGGATCAGCCTGGAGCAAGCCAAGGCAGGTTGCCAGGGTCAAGGTCCATGTGGTGACCCTGGAGAGCTGAGGAGCCTGGAGAGCATTTTAAGCAGAAGGACCTGGTTGTATTTACTTTCCCCTGTCCTCTCCCCAGCAAAGTCTTTTATTCCTGACTCTAAGTTGATGAAACTTCTAGAAAATTTGGAAAGCAAACAATGTCTGTGTTTATACACACTACTCCCAAAATGTGCAGCGTGTGAGATGAGCACACACATATACACACAAATGTGTATTTTAAAATATTTATCAAGAGAACATTTTCATATATCCTCACATAGTCTTCAAAGACGGGTTAGGTTGTCTCAGAAGGTCACTCGCCTTGTGTCCTGGCAGTTCTGCTCTTTGCCGCCTGTCCAAGAGAAATGACACAAGCTCACACGTGGGAGGGTACAGTCCTCTTCTTCCTAGCCCGGAACGACGGAGGTGCCAGCTGTGCTCTTCCTGTGCCATAGAGGCTCGGCCACGGAGACATGACGGGCCTGTTCCTGCTCAGCAAACGTGGACTTCACGCACGGTATGCTGCAGGAGAGGCCCAGGCACCACGCTGTGCAGTGCCATCTGGGTGAAAGGCCCCGAAGAGGCAGAGCTCGTTGGTTTGTCTGAGCAGAGACAGAACCAGGCCAGGGGCTGCAGAGAGGAAGGGCCAGTGAAGGTGGAGTAAGCGCTCGCAGGGAGGAGGAGGGCGGTGTTATGGGATGGATGAGAGTGGCGTCGCACGGCTCTGTACATTGAACGCCACTGGGATGTATGTTTGCCATGTGTCACGTGACTGAAGCTGCTCCCGGGTGAAAGAAGCTCAAGAGGCTGAAGGGGTGAGCTCTGAACCCAGGCAGCCTGGCCCAGGGGTGCCTCCCCCGCTGCAGCACCAGGCTGTTGTGATCCCGTCTGCTTGCTTAGGATAACAAGAGGGATCCAGAATCGCATTGTTAGAACCTTTTGCTCCTAGAAGGGGGTCAGAAGGCCACATGGAGCCTGGCAGTGGTGCTGAGCCTGGGCTTAACTCTGAGAAGTGAGAGGATCTGCTTGGCCACCTAAAGCAGGTGCTGTCCATGGAGAGCAGTATTCAGAAGTGGCCTGCACTGCCTCCAAGCCTTCTGTCCGATGACAAGGCCCAAGTTGTACATCTGCAGCCGGCCACACGAGGTCAGACCGGTCCAGAAGCCTGCATGCCTGTTTTCCTGAACTTTCGTCCTCATCCCAGCAGGAGAATGGGCAGAGTAACAAAGGTATCAGCCCCCGGGTCAGAGGTCTTGTAAGAACAGCTTTGCCAGCTTGAGTTTGGGGATGGGGTGGGGAGAGCCATGGGTTTCAAGGCAGCGTACTTACCCCATGCTGTGTACTCTACTTCCCTGTAGCTCCCTTTTACAGGGTGGCCACTAACGGTGCCTCTAGGTTCCTGGAAATGGAACTAAAAGATAAGCTTATTTTGCGTTAAAAAAAAATGAGTTTCATGCATAGTTTTCTCCTAATACACATTTTTCCATGACATTTTTGGGAAAAAAAAAGTCCTTGTATGCACAGATTTTTAAAAAATATTGCATCTAAATATACATATTTTCTGATTCCATCCCATGGGCTTGCGGCACGCCCTGGTGCTGCTGTTAGGATCATCTTGCATATCAGATAGCTCATCCAGGTAAAGTCTGAGGCGGGCACTATACACATGCCGTGGGAAACCCCTGCAGTAGCATGGTGTCTTTAACATCCACCTTGAACTTGTCAAATGAGGTTTTCCCACAGTGTTGATAAGGGGTACCCCTCTGTCTTAGTGCATTTTCTGTGGCTGTATGTGAATGCCACCAACCGAGACGGGTCTGAAGAGTAAAGGTTTATTGGCTTAAGGTGCTTGAGGTCCAAGGTCAAGGGGCCACATTTGGTGAGGGTCTGTGGGGTCCTGTGGCAACATGGGGTATCCCATGGCAGGGCTGAGTTGGCTTTTAGCATGGGACCCCCTGTCACATTGACCAGTAAGCCATGATGGGCAGCAGGACTCTCCTGCCTCGGTCCCATCATGGAGGCCCCACATGATCTCATCCTGTAGCACCTTGCACTGGGAATTCAGGCTCACAGTGATACTTGTGGGGCAGGGGACGGGAGGGGAGGGTACTCAGGCAGAAAGAGATAGCTTCCATTCACTGGTTCGTTCCCCAAGTAGCTGCAATGCCTGGGCTGGGCCAGCCAGGAGCCTAGAACTCCTTCCAGGTCATTCCTGTGGGTATCAGAGGCTCGGGCACCCAGGGTCGTCATCTGAAGCTTTCCCAGGTGCATTAGCGGGGAGCTGGGTCAGAAACAGAGCTGCTGGGACTTGCACCAGTGCTCAGAAGGAATACTGGTATCACAGCAGTTTCTCTAGCTGTGCCACAGTGCCGGCCCTGCAGACAACTTTCCACTGGGAGCTGGTTAAGTGGGCCAGTTTACAGGTACAGTCAGCACAAGATGGGGAGTGCAGGGAAGAGCCCATGCTTCTAGATGTTCTAGCTGGATCTTTACTTTGGGATTTCAGCATGGGGCCTGGAGTTTGCGAGCCCTCTTTTGGACCTGTTTTCACTGTGTTACCCTGGGGCAGGCCAGCAGAACATCTGTGACTTAGGCTGTAGGTCTGGCACACTTGGCCATGTGCACCTGCTGTGTGCTTTTTTTGGGGGGGGGGGGAATTGTCATGGAAGTCAGAAATCAGTGGTAGCACCTGTCTGCCAATTAGCTGATCAGGTGTCACCAGCTGTAGTCATCGCAGACCAGCAGCTGCTAGCATGGCACACAGAACAATAGACAGAGTCGAGAAGTTAAAAAGAAAGGTTAGTGCTGACACTGGCACAGCCTCCCATATTGGAGTGTTGGGTCTAGCCCTGGCTGCTGCACTTCTGATCCAGCTCCCTCTTGATGCTCTTGGGAAGGCAGCAGATGATGGCCCAAGTCCTTGGTCCCTGCATCCATGTGGGAGACCGGGATGGAATTCTTGGCTCCTGGTCTCAGACTTGCCCAGACCCATCTGTTGTGGTCTTACGGAGTAGGATGAGAAAGGTGAACCAATGGATGGAAGAATTCTCTCTCTCTCTCTCTGTATGTGTGTCTGTCACAGTCTTTTAAATAGATAAGTAAAATGTTAAAAAGTAAAGAGAAAATAATCCTGTTTGTAGCTGCCCAGGATACCAGCGAGGTGAGGTCTTCAAAAGCTGGCCATCTGCTTAAGTGAGGTCTTTGGAAATGACCATGAAACATTTCAGCCTGCTTGCCACCTTCTCTCACTCCTATAAGCTGTGAGCAGGTGGTGTCTTTGTCCTGCCACTGTGCCACATGTCATAGATTCTAACTCTCCTTTCCCACAGCAGAATTAATACAAATTGAGTAATTATGTTTGGTAAATTGCAGAATGAACTATGTTAGCTTGTTGTTACTATAATGAAATACCTGAGACAACTAAATTATACAGAGAAGAGATTCAGTCATGGTTTTGAAGGTTCAGCTCTCACCTGTGGAGACCCCATTGGCTTGGTCCCTGTGGAGGATGCCAGCACAGGCCCTAAAGGTAGGGAGAGGGTGGGGGTAGCCAAGTTCAGACCTTGTCACAGCCTTCCTGAAGAATCCCCAGCTCCCATCCTGGGGACCAAAGACAAGTTCACTCATTCCTTGATGAGACATGGCTCCCATGCATTGGTTCATGCCCCTTGTGGGCAGGGCCTGGGCCTGGTGCCAGGCTAATGCTCAGAACTGGGATTGCCATAGGGCGGGCGGCAGGAACAAGACAATTGTGGCTATCCCTGTTGCCCCCTGGGTGTGCATTGGCAGGAGGCTGGGACCTAGCCTTTAGCACATGGGGCTTTGGGGGATCTTCAAGCTATAGCCACATCACCCAGCTTCTGCAGGAAGAGCTCCTCCCTGCAGCCGGTAGAGCCCCAGGGTGCCTGGGGCAGTCACACCGATGCTGTGAGGTCATCTGGCCCAAGGAAGGGGTTTTGTGTTAGATTCCTCATACTGAAAAAGTTAGCATAGATGTTCTTAATATTTATTACCCAGAGTAGGATTATCTTTGGATACTTCAGTTTCTCTCATTCTGAATTTAACACTCATAGCCAACTTTGGTAATAGTGCACGTTTAATGTGTGCTAATAGGGTTGAAGAACGAGCTTGATAAGTCATTTCCAGGGGCATCCTCTAGAGCCTGCAGTCCTGGGTGTAAATTTTTAAATTTTTATTATTTTTTAAAATATTGATTTTATTTCTGTTGGAAATCAGATGTACAGAGAGACAGAGAGGAAGATCTTCTGTCTGGTGATTTACTCCCCAAGTGGCCTCAATGGCTGGAGCTGAGCCAATCCGAAGCCAGGAGCCAGGAGCCTCTTCCAGGTGCAGGTCCCAAGGCTTTGGGCTGTCCTCGACTGCTTTCCCAGGCCACAGGCAGGGAGCTGGATGGGAAGCAAGGTCACTGGGATTAGAACTGGTGCAAGGCGAGGACTTTGGCCGCTAGGCTACCGTACAGGGCCTAATTTTTTTTTTTTTTTTTAAGATTTATTTAAAGAGTGAGGAGAGAGCCCTTCAATCTACTGGCTCACTCACAAATGGCCATGATGGCCAGGGCTATGCTAGACTGAATCCGGGAGCTTCTTCAGGATCCACATGTGAGTGCCAGGGCCCAGGGACACAGACCATCGTCTGCTGCTTTCCCAGGCGCATTAGCGGGGAGCTGGGTCGGCAGTGGAGCAGCCAGGACTCGAACCAGTGACGCAGGCGACAGCTTAACACAGGGAGGTTGACAGCGTGCTTACAATACCGACAGAGTGCAACTGGGTGAGCGAGGTCCAGGCGTCTCTGGTGCTGGTGGAGTTCACATGCCTCAGCTTTCAGAGCGCCCTGCCTGCCGCGTGTCCAAGTCTGCTTGCACCGAAAGGACTCCAGGAGGCCTCAGGCACAGCAGCCCGGCGAGGCAGTTAGCACGGTCCCTGTTTGAAGTTCAGGGTTTTGTCGGCAGGGCTCCAGGAAGGCAGTGGTGGAGTCTGGGGTTAGCGCGTATACTTATTAAATCTCTCCTAGTATTTATGACATCCGGTCTCTAAAATGAAGACCGCTGTTGTCAGTCTGGCTTTGGGGCAGTGCTGCCTCCCTCGAGAGAGGGAGAAGTCAGGCAGGCCCAGAAGCACTGGTCTCTTGTAGCTGTGACCGTGGTGGCCCAGTCCCCGCCTCAGCAGGACCATCTGTCGGGGAGCTGACAGAGGAGCCCAGAGCCCTCCATGCTGCTTGTTCGGGCCTGGTGGGAGTGGACTTGGGCTTTATCAAACTGGCAGAATATTCTAGACTCCTGTTTATCTGCCAGCATTAGTCACATAGCCCTGATGCCATTTTAAGTGAAGAACTGCCCTGTAGACAAACTCAGTGCAGAAACAGAAAAAGAGATGGGTGTGTGTGGCCGAACTGTTTTGGCAGCTGAGATTAGAAATAAATGAGGGGGCCCAGCGGCGTGGCCTAAAGTCCTCGCCTTGAACATGTCAGGATCCCATATGGGCGCCAGTTCTAATCCCGACGACCCTGCTTCACATCCAGCTCCCTGCTTGTGGCTTGGGAAAGCAGTCGAGGATGGCCCAAAGCCTTGGGACCCTGCACCTGTGTGGGATACCTGAAAGAAGTTCCTGGATCCTGGCTTCGGATCGGCACAGTACTGGTCATTGCGCTCATCAGACAGAAGATCTTCCTCTCTGTCTCTCCTCCTCCTCTCTGTATATCTCACTTTGTAATAAAAAAAATTAATAAATCTTTAAAAAAAAAGAAATAAATGAGGGCTGGTGATGTGGCATAGTAGGTTCAGTGTCTGCCTGTGGTGCCAGCATCCCATATGGGCACCAATTTGAATATTGTCTGCTCCACTTTCAATCCAGGTTGCTGCTAATACACCTGGGAAAGCAGCAGAAGATGGCCCACGGGCTTAGACCCCCGTGCCCACATGGGAGACCAGGGTGGAGTTCCTGGCTCCTGCTGTTAGCCTGGCTGTCTGTTGCAGGCATTTGTGAAATGAATCAGTGGATGGATGATTCTCTCTCCTCACCCCCATGTCTCCTCTCTGTGTAACTCTGCCTTTCAAGTAAAATTAAAAAAAAAAAAAAGAAGAAGAAAAATGTTCATTTTGGTTCTTAGAGAGGAGAGCTGCAAGTGACAGCATGGGCTTCAGTCTGGAAGTGCTTAAGAAGCAGCTCATTTGCAGTCAGTCACAAGCACCTTGTCCACGAGTGCGGCTGGGGCGGAAGCAAGGTGTACACCTGGATAGCATCTGCTTCCCTGTGCCAGCAGAAGCTCAGGCCGAGACGTGGCGAGCGTTGGGGCAGAGTGCGGGTCTGCCTGCTGCCTTTTGGGCTGACTCTCTGTAAATTGTCGCCCTAGAAATGCTGCAGCAGCTGCACCAGCAGCTGGTGGAGGCGGAACGCCGCTGCATGACGTACCTGAAGCGCTACAACAAGATGCAAGCTGACTACCACAACCTCATCGGTGTCACCGCAGAGCTGGTGGACTCCCTGGAGGCCACCGTCAGTGGCAAGATGGTAAGAAAAACCCCCGAGTTGTGTCCATGTCCACTCTGAGATAAAGCGGTGGGGGCTGGCCGTGTTCACAGCGGATTCCTGGGCACTCCAGCTCCTCTGGTTCTCTCAACACTAAGGCTTTTCTTTCACTTTTATTAAAAGACACAGAGACAGATAGAGACCCAGACCTTCCACCTGCTGGTTCATGCCCCAACTGCCTGCAGCAGCCAGGAGTGGGCGTGAAGCCCGGAACTCAGTGCAGGTGCCCACGTGAGTGGCAGGAGCACGGCAACCTGGTCGTTGGTCTGCTGCCTCCCTGATGAACGTGAGCGGGGAACCCGAGTTAGAAGCAGAGCCGGGGCTGGACCTGAGATGGCGTAGGGGCCTCTGGGTGGCACAGTGTCCGAGCCACTGTGCAAGACATCCGTCGTGTCAGCCAAGAATCAGAAAAGAAGAAAAAACATGCTGTGGGGGAAGAAGGGGAAGAAGCCCTTGTGAAGCAGGAATGACACGCTTTCCACATACTGATTTTGTGTCTCGCTGCTTTGCTGAAGCCTGTTAATCACCAAGGTTTGGTTAATTCTCCCATATTCTAGATTGGCAGCCATATTTTCCTTAAACTACAATGTTTGTAGTGAGAATTTTTGTCCATTTACCATACGTGGTTTTTTTCTTCACGATCCATTAGCCTAGGCCCGTAGACGTTGCTAAACCTTATGATCGCAAACGTCGCTGTCTTATTCCTGACTTTTCATGTGACTTTTGCTTTTCCCTTCAGAAATAATTAGGAAGTACCATGGCATCTCTGTGGAGATGGAAATCTTTTCAGGGCGGGTGCCATGGTGCAGCACATGAAGCCACAGCTGGGACACGTGCGTCCCAGGTGTCTCAGAGCAGCAGTTCCGATCCCAGCTGCTTGGCTGCCATGCCTGGAATGCAGTGGGTGCGGACAGCCCGAGCACGTGGGAGACCCCGAGGGAGCTCCTGGCTCCCGGCCTCAGCCTGGCCCCATCACAGCAGTTGGAGCCGTTTGGGAAGCGAACCAGCAGACTGCCTTCTTGTTCTCTGTCTCTGTGGCCTTTCAAGCAAATAGAATCCTTAAAAAATAAACCTTTACATACATTTTAAAAACAAGTAGCTGTGGGTTCCCGCTGCGCCTGTGAAGAATAACGCATGGAGACCCGTTGTCAGGTTGCCTGGTTCCCCCGGTTGGTAGTACTTTTTGAACCTGTAGTATGACGGGCAGTGTGGTGTGAGTCAGCATCCCATAAGGGTGCTGGTTCTAAAGCTGTCCCAGCTGCCCCACTTTGGATCCAGCTCCCTGCGAAAGGCCTGAGAAAGCAGTGGAGGATGCTTGGGCCCCTAGTGCTTGGGCCCCTGCATCCTTGTTGGAAACCTGGAATAGACTCCTGGCTTCTGGCTTTGGACCAACTCAGTCCTGGCCATCGTGGCCATCTGGGGAGTGAACCCGTGAGTGGAAGAGCTCTCTTCCCTTCTCTTTCAGTACTTCTGACTTTCAAATAAAATGAAGAAACCTAAAAAACAAACGAAAAGGTGGTATAAAGTATCACCACCAGGTCTGCCACTGATGTAGTTGGTATGATCTACTGATGCTGTTCAGACTCCTGCAAGTTCTGCTTACACTCGTGTGTGTGTATTAAGTGCTAACTGCCTTTATCACTGGTGTAAGTTAGTATATTGGAATTTTTAGTAACTCTTAAATCTGATTATAAAATAATACACATAGAAAAATTGAAAAATGCAGACCAATGTGAAAATTAAAATGTTCAAGTTCCCTGTAATTGTGTCAATTAGCAGTGCGCACTGTGCAGTACCTAGCCGGGTCCGGGCTGATGTCATCTGCTGTCTTCTGACTGCCCTGAGCGTCCTGCAAGCAGCAGCTACAGACCTGCCATCGCTTGGCATTGCCATGCCTACCTAGTGTCAGCTCCGTGTCCTTGTACCTTTATGCTATTTCCACATTTTCATTATCTTGTGATTTATGTATATCTTCCATTCATCTTACATGGAATTGGACATTTCTCTTTTATGGATTTTTTTAAAACTTACTTTCATTTACTTGAAAGGCAGAGTGACGGAGGAGAGGCGAGGAGAAGGGAGGGAAGGGGAGGAAGAGAGAAGAGGAGAGGAGAGGAGAGTTGAGGACAGGAGAGGAGAGGCGAGGCAAGGAGAGTTGAGGAGAGTTGAGGAGAGGCGAGGGGAGGCGAGGAGGGAAGGAGCAGGCTGGGTCTTCCCTCTATTAATTCACTCACCGAATGCCTGCCAACAGCCAGAATTGGGCCAGGCTGAGTGTAATAGCTGCAAATTCCAGCTGAGTCTCCTCTGTGGGTATCAGGGACCCAAGTACTTGAGCCATCATGCGCTGCCTCCCAGAGTGACTGAACATGAATCTAGATTGGAAGTGGAATACCTGGGACTCAAACTGGCACCCTGATTAGGGATGTGGGCTTAACCCACTGCATCACGGAGCCACTCATGGGCATCTCTTCTTGTTTTTTTTTTATCATTTAAAAATATTAATTTATGAGAGAGAGATTTCCCCTGCTGGTTCACTCCCCAGGTGGCTGCAGTCAGCACTGCCAGGCCAGTCTGAGGCCAGGAGTTTCCTCTGGGTTTCCCATGTGAGTGCAGGCACTTGAGTGAGCACTGCTCCATCCAGGCACAGTAACAGAGAGCTGGATGGGAAGTGGAGCAGCAGGGACTCGAACCGGTGCCAATATGGGATGCCAGCGTTAGAGCCAGCAGATTAACGCACTGCACCACTGGACATTTTTATGTGCTTCTTTCATTCATCTAGTATTAGAATTTGGTTGGGTGTTCCCGACATGCCAGGCGCTAGTCTGAGTGGTTGGGACACAGCAGATATTCAGACCATACCAACCAGTAGAGGCTGACATTTGCAAACAGTAACCAGAGGAGGTAAATCCTGTGGTGTACGGAGTCCAACTACAAAGTGAAGGCAGATGAAGGGGCCACAGTCTGGGATGCATGTGTGTCTGGACAGGGGGCAGCCACGGGCAGGCCTGTCCCTGGGCCGTGGGGAGAAGGGAGGAACCTGGGCATGCTGTTGTCAGAGAGAAGACATAGCGCCTTCAGGGGTCTCCATGTGGATGGGATCCCCAGTGTGGGGACACAAGGAGCAGTACAGAGCTGGTGTGGGCAGGAGACGGGGTGAGGCCAAGTGTGCCTCCTTGGGGCTGCGGGAAGCTGGAGCTGTGCACTGAGGCCACGGCAGGGTGACACCGTCAAGTGCAACGTCCGACAGCTGCATTGTAGAAGCATCTGCCAGCTCTGTCCAGGACAGTCCTGCCAACCTGCACCCTGCAGAGAGCAGCTGGAGGGGGGGCGGGGCAGACTTTGCAGTGATGGTAGGAGACCTGCTGGTGGGAGGGGGCAGGTGGAGCTTGCAGCAGCTCCTGCTGGTTGGAACCCAGGAGAGGAGGGTGGGAGGGTGGAGGCTGACTCGGAGGTGCTGGACAGATGGTGTCCTCACACCTGAGGCTGGAAGGCCTTGATAGAGGATGCTCGGGCAAAATTGGGTCAGCTTTATTGTATCATCAAATAAACTCACTTAAAAGTAGATGGACAGAGACAAGGGAAGAGGGTGAAGTCAAGATTGATTTTGCATCTGCTGGTTCCCTGCCCACACGACCCCAACATCTGGGGCTGGGTCAGGGCCAAGGCAGCGGCCAGCAAGCCCATCCAGGCCTCCCACGTGGCTGGCAAGGGTCAAGGACTTGAGCCGTCGTCCATGCCTCCCAGGTGCGCTGGCCAGGATCTGGACAAGGTGGGGTCCGTCCTGGGCACCCCAAATATTGGCTATACCTTGACTTTGAACCCTGTGTTGCTATGAGCTGGACTGGCTTTTTTTTTTTAAGATTTATTTTTATTGCAAAATCAGATATACAGAGTGGAGTAGAGACAGAGAGGAAGATCTTCTGTCCTCTGGTTCACTTCCCAAATGGCCACAACAGCCGGTGGCTGAGCCGATCCAAAGCCAGGAGCCAGGAACTTATTCCAGGTCTCCCACGTGGGTGCAGGGTCCCAAGGCTTTGGCCTGTCCTCGACTGCTTTCCCAGGCCACAAGCAGGGAGCTGGATGGGAAGTGGGGCTGCCGGGATTAGAACCGGCGCCCATATGGGATCCCGGCGCGTTCAAGGCGAGGACTTTAGCCGCTAGGCCACGCCGCTGGGCACTGAACTGGCTGATGACTTCTGCAGTGCTGCAGGCCTCTCTGCCCCTGTGGAAGCAGCTCACAACTCTTGAAGCAGCAAGACATCGCTTCGTGGGGCAGCATGGCAGAGCATGGGGTGCAGGCGGGGCGTTGAGAGCCTCCACAGGGCAGCTGCAGAGTGAAGGTCATGACCGACCAAGCCTAGGGATTTGTGCTTCATCCCGTAGTTTGAAATATGCAGGTTGTAAAAGGTGGAATTATTATTTTTTAGATTTATTTGTTTTTTACTTGAAAGAATTACAGAGAGATATAAGGAGACAGAGAGAGGGAGATATTCCATCCACTGGTTTACTCCCTAAATGCTCGCAATGGCTGGAGCTGAGCCGATCTGAAGCCAGGAGTCAGGAGCTTCTTCCAGGTCTCCCACACGGGTGCAGGGTCCCAAGGCTCTGGGCCGTCCTCTCCTGCTTTCCCAGGCCACAGGCAGGGAGCTGGATGGGAAGGGGAGCAGCTGGGACTTGAATGGCATCCCAGGAACTGCTGCCACCAAAAGCAGAGGCTTAAAAACAGCCCATTTTAAAAAAATAGCGTATGTTCGCTTTTATTAATATAGAGAAGTACCAGAAATAAAACAGTAATAACTCAGGAAGGAATTGTTGACCAAAAGAAGAAGCTAACATGCATAAAGTCAGAGAATTCAAACTGAAGAGAAAGTGGAGAGTGTACACTGTCTTCTATGGAGAGATAGCTGCCCAGGCCAGTGCTGTGGGTGAAGTGGGTGAAGTCTCTGCCAGAGGTGCCAGCATCTCATGTAGGCACTGGTTCAAGTCCTGGCTGCTCCACTTCTAATTCAACTGCCGGCTTGTGACCTGCGAAACCAGCAGAAGATGGCCTAAGTCCTTGGGACCCTGTGCTGGCATTGGAGACCCAGAGGGAGTTCTAAGCCCCTGGTTTCAGACCAACCCAGCTCTGGCCATTGTGGCCACCACGGGAGTAAATAAGCAGATGAAAGAACTTTCTCTCCATCTCTCCTCTCTGTGAAAACAAAACAAAAAAGGACCTGGTGCAGTAGCCTAGCAGCTGAAGTCCTCTCCCTGCCTGCTCCGAGATCCCATATGGTCACTGGTTTGTGTCCCGGCGGCCCCGCTTCCCATCCAGCTCCCTGCTTGTGGCCTGGGAAAGCAGGAGAGGACGACCCAAATCCCTGGGACCCTGCACCCGCGTGGGAGACCCAGAAGAAGTCCCTGGATCCTGGCTTTTCTCCTTCTCTCTGTATATCTGACTTTCCAATAAAAATAAATAAATCTAGGACCTGTTGGGGTAGGCTAGCGGCTAAAATCCTTGCCTTGAACACAGCGGGATCCCATATGAGTGCTGGTTCTAATCCCGACAACCCTGCTTCCCATCCAGCTCCCTGCCTGTGGCCTGGGAAAGCTGTCAAGGACAGCCCAAAGCCTTGGGACCTGCACTCACGTGGGAGACCCGGAAGAGGCTCCTGACTCCTGGCTTCGGATTGGCTCAGCTCCAGCTGATGCGGCCTCTTGGGGAGTGAATCAACAGATGGAAGATCTTCCTCTTTCTTCTTCTCTGTATATCTGACTTTGTAATAAAAAATAAATCTTTATAAATAAATCAATCAAGCTTAACAAAACAAAACCCGAAAGCTTCCTCCAGGCTGGGTGTGCCTCCGAGGGCCTGGCCGGTGTGACCCGGTCAGTGTGGCAGGTGCTTGCAGAGGAGCCCTCAGCTGCCCCGTACTTGGCTGGGGAGGTTTGCCGGTCGTAAGGCAGGGCTGTGAGCAGGCCTCCCTCCAGGGTCCCCACTGGCAGCGCCCCGAGGCTGGGCTGCGTGGGCTGACTGCAGGGCCAAAGAAACACGTGTTCACGTTAAGGATCCAGACTGGGTGCCCTACCTACCACGTGTGGCCGCTGCTGTCTGGATGGACGGAGAGGGGATGGGACTGCGTCATTTGAAATGTGGTGGCTGGGCAGCCGTTTGTCCTGGTGGGTCAGTGGTGAAGTCTCCCCAGAGCTGCCTTCCGCAGCAGCAGCAGCCGGGAGACCTTGGTCAGGTCACGGTGAAGTCAGCCGTGGTCACTGCAGCCTGCCCCTGTCTTTCCTGCAGATCACCCCCGAGTACCTGCAGAGCGTCTGCGTCCGCCTCTTCAGTAACCAGATGCGGCAGAGCCTGGCACACAGCATGGACTTCACGAGGCCCGGGACGGTGAGGGGGCAGTGAGGGCACGTGAGGAAGAACAGTTCAGAAGCTGGACTGTTGTTTGTTTGTTTGTTGTTGTTTGTTTACAGTTTACTTATTGGGGACATAGCAGGCTAATTCTCTACCTGCAGTGCTGGCATCCCATATGGACATTGGTTCGAGTCCTGGCTGCACCACTTCTGATCCAGCTCCCTGCTAATGTCCTGGAAAAGAAGCAGAGGATGGTTCAGTCCTTGAGCCCTTGCGCCCGTGAGGGAGACCTAGAGAAAAGTCCTGGCCATTGTAGCCATTTGGGGAATGAACCATCAAATGGAAATCCTTCCCTCTCTGTCTCTTCTTCTCTTTGTAACTCTTTTAAGTTAAATGAATTCATCTTTTTTTAAAAAGATATTTATGAGCCCAGTGTGGTAGCCTAGTGGCTTAAGTCTTCACCTTGAACATGCCAGGATCCCATATGCGTACCAGTTCTAACACGGCAGCCCTGCTTCCCATCCAGCTCCCTGCTTGTGGCTTGGGAGGACAATCAAGGACAGCCCAAGCCTTGGGATCCTGCACCCATGTGGGAGACCTGGAAGAGTTCCTGGCTCCTGGCTTTGGATCAGTGCAGCACTGGCCATTGTGGTCACTTGGGGTGTGAATCATCAGACAGATGATCTTCCTCTCTGTCTCTTCTCCACTCTGTATATCTGATTTTGCAATAAAAATGAATAAATCTTTTAAAAATAATAAAATAAAAAGATTTTATGTATGTATGTATTTGAAAGGCAGATTGCTAGAGAAAGAAATATTCCATCCACTGGTTCATTCCTCGTATACCTACCACAAGCAGATTGCTCAGGCTGCAGCCAGGAGCCTGCAGCTCCGTTGGGTCTCCCCCAGAGGCTTCAGGGGGCCAGGTTCTCGGGTCGCCATCTGCTGCCTTCCCAGATGGGTCCTCAGGGTACCGAGCTGGATGTGGAACAGCCAAATCGAGTGGTGCTGATGGGATGCCAGCACTGTAGGCGTGGCCTAGCGCGCTGCACCCGCAGCTCACGGGAGGGCCGGGTGCTCGTCATCCCAGCCCAGCTGTCCTGCAGCAGGTGCCACCAGCTCTGTCCTGGAGCAGCTGCCGTGGTGGAAGTCGTGTGGGCTAAGGCCCGTGCTGCTGCGTCTCTTGAACTTGTACCTGAACTCGTTGCAGACTTGGAAGTGACCGGAGGACCGTACTGTGCCCCTTCCGTACCTCTTGCTTTGCTCACGCTCTCCACACTGTCTGTAGACAGCACACGTCCACGCCGGGCACCGTGGGAGGGCCGGCCGGGCACAGTGCAGCCCTTTGTTCCTAGCACTTCAACGTGCAGTTCTTGGGATTCCGAGTATTCCCTTACACAGCCGTGCAGTTACTAACTTCAGGACACATTCAGTCACTGCAGCCGTCTCCTCTGCTCTCCACTGCTTCTCCTCTGCTTTCCACCTCTGCTAAGCCACTGAGGTCCCTTACTGCAGGTCCCTAGCTCCAGGTGTCTGGGGGCTGGGACTTCCGTGACTTGTCATAGCCCCTAACCCTGCTTTAATCTTGAACCTGTTCTCAGTCTCTTTATGCATGTTGTTTGAAAACAATTATTCTGGCTGGCACTGTGGCACAGTGGGATAAGCTTCCACCTGCAGTGCCAGCATCCTGTATGAGCACCGGTTCAAATCCTGGCTGCTCCACTTCAGGTCTGGCTCCCTGCTAATGCAGCTGGGAATGTAGCTGACATGACTCAGGTGGTCAGGACCCTGCACCTGCACAAGAGGCCTGGATGAAGCTCCTGGCCCCAGGCTTTGAGTCAGTCTACCTCCAGGAAATTGTGGGGTAAACCAGCAGGTGGAATATGGCCATTTCTCTCTCTCTCTTTCTCTCTCTAACCTTTGCCTTTCAAGTAAGTAAACATCTATTTTATTGAGCCTGGCGTAGTAGACTTTGGCTGAAGTCCTCGCCTTGCATGTACCGGGATCCCATAATAGTGTTGGTTGGTGTCTCAACGGCCCCGATTCCCATCCAGCTCCCTGCTTGTGGCCTAGGAAAGCAGCCAAAGATGGCCCAAAGCCTTGGAACCCTGCACCTGCAAGGGAGACTTGGAAGAGGCTCCTGGCTTCTGATTGGCTCAGCTCTGGCCATTGCAGCCACTTGGGGAGTGAACCAGCAGACAGAAGATCTTTCTTTCTGTCGCTCCTCTACTCTGTAAAAAGAAAATAAATAAATATTGGACCTGGTGCAATAGCCTAGTGGTTAAAGTTCTTCCCTCACATGCACCAGGATCACATATGGGCGCTGGTTCTAATTCCAGCTGCCCTGCTTCCCACCCAGCTCCATGCTTGTGGCCTGGGGAAGCAGTTGAGGACGACCCAGAGTCTTGGGACCCTGCACCCAAATGGGAGACCTGGAAAAGGCTCCTGGTTCCTGGCTTCAGTTTGGCTCAGCTCCAGGCGTTGAGGCTGCTTGGGGAGTCAACCATTGGATGAAGGTCTTCCTCTCTGTCTCTCCTCCTGTCTATATATCTGTCTTTCCAATAAAAATTAAAATCTTAAAAAATAATAGATGAACTTAAAAAAAATTTTTTTTAATTTGTTTTATTTATTTGAAAGATACAGAAAGAGCAAGCGAGATCTCCTCCAGTCTCTAGTTCACTCACTCAGTGCCTGCACCAACCAGTGCTGGGCCAGGCTGTAGCCAGGACGCCGGAGCTCCATGTGGGCTCCCATGTGGGGACAGGGGCCCGTGAGGCCTGGGCCTTCCGTGTTCACACACCATCAGGAAGCTGGGATGGAGAACAGCGTGTGGGCCTGAACCCGGCGCTCTGACCCGGGGCAGGCAGCTTAAGCTGCGACCGTTCCCAGCCCGGCTTCCGCTCTGATTCTCATGACATTCCTTTTTTTGGAAGTCTGGGGTTTTCCTGCTTTATATATTAAAAAAAAATAAACCCACTCGTGCTTTTGGGTTTGATGCTGTCTCGGAATTAGTCCATGAACCTGGACCTGCTGCCAGAAACCACGAGGCCGGTATTTGCTCCTTCTTAAGGGAGCACAGGTGAAGGCAGCTGGGCCTGTGGCACCAGTGGCATCTTGGCAGACTGGGGCTCATGTCCTTTGAGTACCCGATACCTGCTGCCCACTCCGGAAGCTGCTGCTGAAGCTCCTGGGCCAGAGCCATGGCTTGGATTATTATCTTTTTTATTATTATTGTTAATAACATTGTATTATGTGAAACAGTTTTATAGGCACTGGGATTTCCCCCCACCCCTCCCACAACCCTCCCCCCATGGTGGATTCCTCCACCTTGCTGCATAACCACAGTTCAAGTTCAGTTGAGATTCCTCCATTGCAAGCATATACCCAGCATAGAGTCCAGCATCTTATTGTCCAGATAAGTTCAATGGCTTCTTGGGGAGACCTTCTCTGGTCTGAAGGTAGAGCTAACAGAGTAAAGTTCCGGTCAGTTAAAAGCCCCAACAGAACATCAGCAACAATATACAATGTATTGGAATTAATTGACATAGTATTGAGTAGACAATATGTTAGAAATAATGAAAGTTCAATTTTTCAATTTTTCAAAACACATGGGTTGAGACAGTATCAATGACAGGTTCAAAAAGAAACAGACAAACAAACAAACAAAGAAAAATTACAGGTTAGATTAAGGCAAACATGTGGTATCTAACCTTTTGGGATTCGCTCATTTCCCTTAGCATTATAGTTTTCAGTTGGGCCCATTTAGCCACAAAGAACTGCATTTTGTTTTTTTTTAATGGCTGAGTAGTATTCCATGGAGTAGATGAACCAAAGCTTTCTTAGCTTGGATTACTATCTTTCAAAATTTTTGAAATTGTTTTATTTATGTATTTTCTTTTACTGGAAAGACAGATTTACAGAAAGGAGAGACAAAGATTTTTCATTCACCGGTTCACTTTCCAAGTGGCCACAACAGCCAGAGCTGAGCTGATCCGAAGCCAGGAGCCAGAACTTTCTTCCAGGTCTCCCACGCGGATGCAGGGCCCCGGATGCAGGGTCCCAAGGCTTTGGGCCGTCCTCTCCTGCTTTCCCAGGCCACAAGCAGGGAGCTAGATGGGAAGTGAAGCTGCTGGGGTTAGAACCGGCACCCGTATGGGATCCTGCTGCATTCAAAGTGAAGACTTTAGCTGCTAGGCCATTGCACAAAGACCTACCCTGTCTCATTCTTTTTTTTTTTTTTTTAAAATGATGGTTTAAAAAAATTTTTTTTGTACTTTGATTCTTTTTGCTTTTGTTTTTAATTTTTTCAATTTTATTCATTTATCTAAGGTAAATGGAATATTGAGGGAGAAGCCCCTCCCAGTCTCCCACCCCTCCCAGGACCCCGATGTGGGGCAAGCCCCGAAATCCTTGCTCAAGTGGCCTTGAAAGTTCACCAGTTATAAATCGCTGCCGTTCTCGCCACTCCAGGCGCGATGAGGTTGCTGAAGCATCCAGTGATTGACATAGTCCATCATAGAGTCTCCATTTGCCCAGCATTTTGCTGCCAACATATAGCCGAGGTGGTGGATTGACCTGTTCTGTCCAGCTGGTGGTTGCCATTGCTGGGCTGATTTTGTTTTCAGCCCCGACTTCCACTGGAACCAATGGGTGTTGCAGTCGAGCCTGGTTCTGCCCAGCACATACTCGGCCCTCACATAAACCAGTGGGAGCTGCAGCCTAGTTGGAGCGACCCACAATAACCCCCACCAGGCCCGCCCCCCACCCTGGATTGCCAGTGTGTGCAGCAGACTAGTCCAGTCTGTCCCACATCCCATTCAGCTCTCACACATGTCGATGGGCGTTGAAGCTTAGTTCCATCTAACCAGCTCAACTATCCAGCCCTCACGGATGCTGCTGAGTGCCTCTCCGTCCAGCCACCCCAGCCCCTGTCCTAGTTTTTTCCTTCCCATGGGAATGGTAACCCAGGAGGGAGGAGCCCTCTATTTCCCTTCCCAGGTCTCTCCCACTCCCAGACTGTGCACTCTCCATGTGGTTCTGTGGTTAGACTTGACAGAATCAGCCCCCCAGTGCCCTGTCTCATTCTTTTTTTTTTTTTAATTTATTGTTAGTAACATTGTATTATGTGAAACAGTTTTATAGGTACTGGGATTCCCCCCACCCCTCCCACAACCCTCCCCCCATGGTGGATTCCTCCACCTTGCTGCGTAACCACAGTTCAAGTTCAGTTGAGATTCCTTCGTTGCAAGCATATACCCAGCATAGAGTCCAGCATCCTATTGTCCAGACAAGCCCAGTGGCCACTTGGGGCGACTCTCCCCGGTCTGAGGGCAGAGCTAACAGAGTAAAGTCCCTGTCAGTTAAAAGCCCCAACAAAACATCAGCACCAATATACAGTGTCTCATTCTTGAGAGAGTTTTCAACACCCGGTAGCAGAGAGCATTTGACTCAGCTCCCTGTGTCCATCCCGGGTTCGTCCACTAGGTGGTGCCTTTCCCCTGCCTCTTTTTCTTTCTTTCTTTCTTTCTTTGCTTTTCCTTTTTTTTTTTTTTTTTTAAGATTTATTTATTTTTATTGGAAGGGCAGATTTACAGAGAAGAGGAGAGACAGAAAGGAAGATTTTCCGTCTGGTGATTCACTCCCCAAGTGGCTATAACAGCTGGAGCTGTGCCAGTCTGAAGCCAGGAGCCAGGAGCTTCTTCCTGGGCTTTGGGCTGCCTTTCCAGGCCATAAGCAGGGAGCTAGATGGAAAGCAGGGCTGCTGGATTTTAACTTGCACCCACATGGGAGCCCGGCATATACAAGGTGAGGAATTTAGCTGCTAGGCTACCATGCTGGGCCCCCTCCTAAAGTTCTTTAAAGCCAGCTCTAAACAGGTTAGGGTTCATCTACATAATTATATCATCACGGCAGCACATAAGGACCTTAATAAAGCAAAAAGACGTGAGACCACACACCTCCCCAAACCCTTCATACTCATTCCTTGGTGTCCATCCTACCAATCCAGTCTGCATTCAGATTTTCCTCGGAGTAGCTTCTCATGGTCAGTTTGAGCCAGGCCGGACAAGCATCGTCTGGTTACATTGCTTCTCGAGTGTTTCGGCAAATGTCCCAAAGAGTTGAAGCACCCTGTGGTGGCGGTGTGGATGAGGGCACCGCAAACACTTCATGGAAACAATATAGTCTGAAAGACTTGCATGGATTATGATTTTCTTAAATATTTTTGCTTGTGAAATGTATCAGTTGCATAGCACTTTCACTTTGGCTTGGGCTCACTTTGCCATCGTGTGTGACTGGTCGGTGAACGCCAGTGGGTTAGTAGGCACGTGCTGCCGGAGACGGGGGCCGAACGTGGAGACGGGGGCCGAACGTGGAGACGGGGGCTGAACGTGGAGACGGGGGCCGAACGTGGAGACGGGGGCCGAACGTGCTGCCGCAGCTGTTAACATTGTGTGTTTGTTTCTGTCCCATCTCAGGCGTCCACCATGCTGCGGGCCTCCTTGGCACCCGTGTGAGTAGCCTCTGTCCGAAGCTTTTATTGGGGGGACATGCCCTGGGTATACATGGACTCTGTAATGCATGCTCAGCAGAATGGCGCCCCTCGGGCCAGCCTCTGCACCCCACGTCCATGGTACAGGAGGCTCCAGCAGTGAGAAGGAGTGACCTTGTAAAGTCGATCCAATTTATTTTGATAAGGTGGCAGCAAATGGAGAAAATTGTTGTGTTCCCATGGTGACCTGCCGAAATGAATGTGTTTGACCGTCACGGTGCAGCAGCCTTGCCCACACTTCCTGTCCCGTGCTGGCCTGCGCTGTGACCCAGGGCCACCCAGCAGTTCCGTGTATGCCTGGGCATTTGTAGCCACGTCAATTAGGTTGCCGCCCACGGCTGTGCCCTGGGTCAGGTCACCCGTGGGGTGTAGCAGCACACCAGTTGGCGACCTTGGACCTGCACAGGCAGCCAGGCCTTGATGGGACGAGGTGCTGAAGTTCCTCAGTTACACCAGTCCCCCTGCTGAGTCTGGACTTGTCCTCTCCAGCCCTTGGACAGTGGTGTCACACGGTGCACACAGCTGGGGAGCTGGAATCCCAACCCTGGGGTTGGGAACTGCCGGGGCCGCTCCTCTGTGCCTCAGTCTCCCCAGCTGTAAAACAAGAAGGGTAGTGGTGGTTGTGTTATGAGATTGTCTGGAAGCTGAGAACCGAGTGCTGGGGACCACAGTAACCTCTGGGTGTTTGTTAATGTTATTCACAGCGACACCAGGAACAGGGTTTGAACAAGAAGTTAAGCAGGCAGAGGTGGGGCCAGTGTGGTGGCAGAATAGGCTAATCCTCCACCCTTTTGGCACTGGCATTCTATATGGGTGCCAGTTCATGTCCTAGCTGCTCTGTCTCCAATGTCGCTCTCTGCTTGTGGCCTGGAAAGCAGTGGAGGGTGGGTCAAGGCCTTGAGACCCTGCACCCACGCGGGAGACCTGGGAGAAAGCTCCTGACTTTGGAGCAGCTCAGCTCTGGCCATTGCAGCCATAGCCATTTTGGGGACTGAACCAGTGGTTGGAAGAGTTCTGTAAAAGTTGCCTTCTAAATAAAGGATAAATCTTAAGAAAAAAAAAAAAAAGAGGATGAGGCTGGACCATGAGATTCAGACTGTTTGACCACTTGTCCGCTAGCGTGGCCGTCGCTGGCAAGCACGCAGGGCCTGAAGGCAGCTGGCTGCAGGATGGCGTGACATGGACTTGCCATCATCACGGCTCTGTGTGGGGCAAGAGGTTGTCTGAGTCTGGCACAGTTCTTCATGGTAAATAATTTCCTAGCTGCACAAGTTGCACAGAATTGCCACAGGCCCTTCACTTAGATTGCCCAGCATTAGTGTTTGCACATGCCCAGTACAGTCAGCAGAATCAGCAAGTTAACACTGGTCCAGCATGAGCACAGGCACCGAGCCTGCACCCCCATCCACTGCCTGTCCCGTGTCATCGTGCTCTGGCCAGGCCCAGTGCTGTCACCCTCTCCTGATTGCTGTTGTTCATGGCCAGACTGTCTATCACCTTGACACTGGTGAAGAACGCTGGCCAGTTATTTGCAAGTGAAATTGTCCAGGTAGAGTAGATTTTAAACCTCCAGACCCGCAGGGGACAAGCGTCAGCCACGTGCTGAGCCTGTGGGCTCCGTGGGGTGTGGGAAACAGGACACAGCTTCCCAGGAGCCAGGAGCAAGCCCAGACCTCGCCTCCCACGCCCCTTCTGGGCCTTTCTCTGGGCCCTCTAAGAGAATCTCATTCTGTCTTTTAAAAAGTAAAATTAGGGAAAAAAAAAACCTATTTTTTTGCTTACTATGTAATATATGCTCGTTATAGAAAATTTGCATGCTATAGAAACACAAAGGAAGTTGAGATGACCTGAAATGATCCCTCCCAGAGCTGCCCTCCATCCTTAACAAATGAGACCTGCGTCCTTAGTCTTTCACCCAGCTGTTCACAGCCTCGTGCAGTACCCTTTCTCCTCCACTTTAAAAAAAAAAATGTATTTATGGAAGGAAGAGTTACGGGGAGGAAGAGACCGAGAGAGCTTTCATCCGCTGCTTCGCTCCTCGAAAGGCCACAACCCCATCTGGCTGTCCCCGTGGGCAGCGGGAGCCCAAGCACGGGCATCCTCCGCTGCTCTCTTAGGCACGTGAGCAGGAGGCTGGATTAGAAGCAGAGCAGCAGGACTCAGACTGGCACCTGTGTGGAATGGCAGTGTCACAGTTGAGGCTTCGTGCGCTGGGCCGTGATGCCGTCCCTGCCACAGGCGCTTCCTTTTCTCCTTTGTCCTGGAGGAGTCCTTTGTGTTTTAGTTTTCAGGTTTTGGTTTTCTGTTTGTTTGCTTGTTTTACGTATAGACCTGCAGGAAATCAGGTCTCCCTGTCCCTGGATGTGACATCTGTGTCTGTCAGGTGATCCTAAACAGGAAACCGGCCTGGGTAGAGTGCTGCTATGCACCGCAGGCCTCATTCTGTTTTCATCAGCTTTTCCTTGTGCCTTCACCTCCTTTTATTTAAAAATAAATAAACAAGCAGAAAAACAAAGCAAACCACAAAGATACCCATTTCCTTGGAGGGTGCCTGGCAGCCAGAGGCCCCGCTGCAGCAGCCAGGGCAATCGGAACTGCCTGGGAAGGTGGGGGTGCTCGTGTTCAGTCAAAGCCCACTTGCCCCAAAGTCTCTATCCGGGGTCTTCCCAGACCCTTGCTTCTGGTCTATGCCCCTGTGAGCGTCTCCTCCCACTCCAGCTCTGTTCCTCGCCCCCCTCAGTTCTGCCTCACTGGCTTGGCAGGGGACAGTGGCCTCAGGTTTCAGATCTGCCAGCAGGAAGCACCTTTGGGCTTTGCTCTGAATTCTGGGGGCAGCATGGGTGTGGGACGATGTGTGCCCTCCTGCCAGGGGCCCTCGGGTAAACGCACACCTGCAGGGCTCTCCAGGTCGGTTGGAGCAGAGGGAAAGGGGAATACGAAACGCAAGTCCCTGCAGCAGAACCTGCGGCCCAGCTGCTTGCGCGGCCCCGGTAGCACAGGGAAGTCCTCCGTTTCCTGCCATGGAAACCTGGCCCTGCGCTCAAAGCGGGGCTGGGCACTGCCGTGCGCCAGCTACCCGGGATCAGATGGCCCGCTGCTCACATGGGCCCCCTGCCCGCTTGCCCTTTTCCTTTTCTCTGAACTCGGGCTGCTGAGTAGGAAGTTGAAGGATGTGCCCTTGCTGCCCTCGCTGGATTATGAGAAGCTGAAGAAGGACTTGGTGTGGGGGAGTGACCGCCTGAAAGCCTTCTTGCTGCAGGCCCTGCGCTGGGTAGGTACATCGCCCTTCCGGTTGAAAGCACCCGGGCCCGCTGTCTCGGCCGGCTGCCTTGCTTGTGCCTTTCAATTTGTCTACTAGAATTCTTCCTTGCCTGTTGCCTGCTGGCCCCAAGAACTGAAGTGCAAAGCATCTAAGAGCCTGATGCCTGAGACAGCCCGATGCTGGGTTCGAGTCCTAGCCCTGGCTCATAGTTGGCTCCTGCCCCTCACAGGAGTGACCTGGCCTCAGTTTTTGGCCCTAACTGCACACTAACCATTGTGGGCATTTGGAAAGTCGGATTGCCCTGGACAAACAAGGCCGCTTGCCCATTTCCATCCTGTGGCAGGGCCAGTGCACACACATGCACACACGCACACTCGTGCTCACTGGCTAGTTTTCTGAATGAGCTGAGTACCGTCCGTTGGGCAGGTTAAATGTGTAGTGGCTGCCGGGTGGAGCCTGCCTGGACACAGATGGTTTGTCTCCATGTCTCCATTCGGATCCTGTTACTCCCTATGCTTCTCCTCCAGCGCCTGACCACATCCCACGCCGGGGAGCAGAGGGAGACAGTGCTTCAAGCCTACATCAGCAACGACCTCCTGGACTGCCACAGCCACAGCCAGGTCAGTATGACGCGGCCGAAGCCAGGGGCGCCACCTCAGCAGGTGCCCCTGCGCATGTCAGCCCTGAGCTGGCAGGCCAGCGAGTGCATGCCGGACGCTGCCCTGTCTCCACTTCTCACAGAGTCCGAGGTGTTAGACCTGTGTCGTTCCTCTCTGCAGCCTGCTCTCCTCCCCAGACCCCAAACCGTCCCTGCTCCCTACTGCCCGGCATGACTCGGCGCCCGAGAGGGACAGATCCAGCCTGCTTCCCCATACCCCCATCCTGACCTGGATGTGTCTCCCATGTGATATTTTTCTGTAGCTGTGGACCGCAGAGGTGCAGGGACTCGGGGTAAGAAGGGAAGCATTCCCTCGTAGGGGTGGGGGCCTTCTTAGCCCCACAGTCCAGGCCCAGGATTCAGTACGGGGTGATCTTCCTCGCCTTTCTTCACGATGAGGTCAGGGTCTTGAACTTGGCCCGTTGAAGACCCATTACAGCTCTGCATTGCTGCTGATACGCTAAAGGACAGGTGTGCAGGGAGGAGGCTCGTGGCCCCCTACACCTGCACACAGCACACAGTGCACACTGCAGCAGGTGCCAGGTCATGCTCTGAACACACTATAGTCTTTGCTCTTGTGGAAGACCTGTGCTGAGGGGGACAACAGTTCAGTACTGAGTGTCCAGCACATTGCTCCCAGCCAGGGACATGCTGCTTTTCCCCATCTTAACATAGGTGTGATTGAGGTGTGTCTCTAGGTTCATGGGCAGTGGGGTTTTTCTGTTTTTCAATTGTATTATATAAAAAAGATGTGTCCTGTAATGAAGTGTGTCTTAGGGCTTGTTATATTTTGTCACATGGCGACCCCTGCAGACCTTTAAAGCTGTGATTCCTCCTCGAGATCTGGTGTTTGATGGCTGTGGTTGATTCTAGTAGAAGGGGAGAGCCAGAGCTCTCAGTCTGTTGGAGGCGCTGCCGGGCAGCAGGAGGACTCCCTGTGCGCCATGGGTACTGGGCCACCACCACGTCACCCACTGCCCCCTGTTCTCCGCAAGGCCAGCTACTTTGCAGGTGTCACAGGGCCAGCAACTAGCTCTGTGTTGTCCACACGGAGACAGAAGTGGGGCTGTGGGGAACTGCAGGGAGCTGGCTCTGGGTGGGGTCACCGTGACCCCAGTCACAGTGTGTGCAGCAGGTTGGCATTCCCCCCCCCTTTTTGAAGATTTATTAGACAGGAGGAGAGACAGAGAGGAAGATCTTCCATCCGATGATTCACTCCCCAAGTGACTGCAACGACCAGTGCTATGCTGATCCGAAGCCAGGAACCAGGAACCTCTTCCGGGTCTCCCATGTAGGTGCAGGGTCCCAAAGCTTTTGGGCTGACCTTGGCTACTTTCCCAGGCCACAAGCAGGGAGCTGAATGGGAAGTGGAGCTGCTGGGATTAGAACCAGTGCTCATATGGGATCCCAGCGCGTCCAAGGCGAGTACTTTAGCCACTAGGCCATGCCACCAGGCCCGGCATTCCCTTTTCAGCTGAAGGGTTGCAGTGTTACGTGGCTGCATCTCACGCCACCCTGCGTGCTAATGTCAGGTTTTCCATGTCTGACAGTGCCGCCTGGCTAGCCTAATACCTGTGTCTCCAGGGAGACCCAAGTTTTAGAGCAGAGGCATTCGATCTTGCTCCCTAGGCTCATGTTTCCGATTGTAAGACATCACGCAGCTGTGGGAGTGTAGGAAGCAGCTTCAAGAGTAATACAGCAGATACTGGTTCTCCATCAACCAGATTAAAAGATAGGAATGTTGTGTTTTAGAAGCATCTAGATCACCCTCCCCATTTTCCTTTCATCAAGAGGTAACCATTATCCTCTAAATTGTACTAGAACAGGGGCAAGCTTGCTGCGCAGCCGCGCGGCCCACTTCAGAGGGGTGGGGTTCAGTTCTGGCTGCTGCTCCTGACTCTGCCTTCCTGCTAGTGTAGACCCCCAGGGCAGTGGTGATGGCTTTTCGGGCCCCCACCGCCCACTGGGAGCCCTGGATTGACTCCCGTTTCTAGCCCTACCGGTCCCAGCCGGTGTTGGCATGTGGGGAACACGAAACAAGACGACAGTGTGTTGGCAACGGAAGCTCTTTGTCTGACACTCTACCTTGCAGATCCAGAAAGAAAACCCCACACACAGCATAGCATCTGAGTGTGTGTGTGATTCACAGCACACTTCCATCCATCTCCATCAATGACTCGTGCATGGAAGCTCTGCACCCATTCAACAGTATATCCAGGACTGGACCCAGCACCCGTATGGGACACTGGTGTCACAGGCAGTGGCTTGGTGTCACCACAGTGCCGGCCCCTTGCTTGTCTCTATCCACCAGTGGACCTGTGGGTCACTTCCCCCTTTGGTGAATAGTGATACTCCGAAATGGATGTGCAAGTCCTAACTTTTGTGTTCATTAGTTCCTTCTCTTTCCAGTTCCCCATGCATGTTTGTACCCTCGTAATTCAGTGTCGGAGTTTGCGTGCACTGAGCAGCAAGCACAGGCCTTGCCCTGCAGGGAAGTGCTGTCCCCACAGGAGATGCAGGCTCCCGGGAGCAGGTGGCTTCAGCACAGTTCACAGAGGACCTAGAGTCAGGCCACAGCGTCCCTGGGCCCTTTGTGCTTTGCTCTGGGGACCCAGATGGTCCTGAGGAGCACAGGGTATCAGCCAGGGTCGACAGGTCAGCCAGGGTGCAGGTGTCCAGCCGTGATGTAGATGGCCAAGGTCAGCGGTGAGCTGCCTGTCAGGTTCTTAGTGCTGTGGCTACAGAGGTGCTGCCTGATGCACTGCCTTGGAATCCTGGGGGCTTTACCAGTGCTGGACACCTGGTGTCCTAGCAAAACCACTGCCAGGTGTAAGCCCAATGGGGACATGTCCATATGTTCCCCACAAGCCAAAATGTACCATAATGTCCCCAGCAGCACTGCTTCTAAGAGCAAAAATGCTGGGGACAGGCACTGTGGTATACTAAGTGGAGCCACTACTTGGGGTGCCGACACTTCCTACTGGAGTTCTAGTTTGAATCCTGGTTCCTCTGCTTCCCAGCCAGCCTCCTGCCAGTACACCCCAGAGGTAGCGGTGACTCAAGTGTGTGGGTCCCTGCCGCCCAAGTGGAGTTCTAGCTGCCCGGCTTCAGCCTGAGCCAGCCCTGGCTGCTGCAGGTGTTTGGAGAGCAAACCCACAGGGGAAAGATCTCTCTCTCTCTCTCTCCTTCTGTCTCTGGTAGTCTGCTTTTCAAACAGCTAAATCTTAAAAAGAACAGAAACATGGACTATACCTGAGATCTGTCCACAGCAGCACGAATTCATCAAATGGGACACACTGAGCAATGAGAAAGAACACACAGCATGGAACATGGATAACTTGCAAGCATGGCATAAAAGCCTGTTGGTTGAAAAAGGCATAAAAGAATATATAATGCATGCTGTCATTTATTTAAAAAAAAAATCTCCAAGCAGGCGAGGACTAATCTGTGGTGATAGAAGCCGAGAGTGGGGGTTCCCCTCTGAAGGGGGGCCCTGAAGGGCCCTGGGCTGTGGAGCCACCTTGTGTTTGCTGCCCACCCCCACATTCATTTTGTAAGCAGTCATCGAGCTTTGCACTTCTGATCTGTGTGGTTTTTCACCCTGGGGATGTTATGCTTCAAACTTCACCTAAACACAAACGATGCTGTGGCAGGAGGAGCCTGGGAGACAAGAGCCTTTGACTGGTCACCCTCGTGAGCCCCCTCCACCTGGGGCCTGGCTGCTGTTGAGACTCTGCCCCGTTGATCACTCTCACCTCTCTCCTACATCAGGGTCTCTGTTGCTAGTATCCCATGTTGCCTTCTTTCTTGGCTTCACCTCTGAGCAGGCAGAGCACATCCTCCTGTCAATAGCTGCCCAAGGTGCACACTCTGCGAGGCTGCTTGAGACCTGAGTGTCTTCATTCTTGGTGTAACATGCTGGGGTGCAGATGGCTATCTTTCCACTGGTAGAAGACATTGCCCTGTTGTTTTAAGGTTCTGCTTTTGCTGGCGAGCAGTCCGGAGCAGCTCTGGTCACTGATCTTTGGCTGTGGCCTGTTTCTCCTGCCAGCAAAAGCAGGCAGAGTCCTGCCTTGTTTTCTTTGATGTGAAATGAAAATTCTCACCTACTATTAAGATTTTTTAGAGACATGCTGAGAAGCCGCTTCGAGTTTTGGGTGTAAAGTTAGGTCTGTCCTCATAGAGCTCCACCAAGGGTGATGCAGACAGAGCACATGCCGGGAGCCATGGGCTTCATGGACTCTAGTCCTGGTCATTTTCCACTGGGGAAATGCTTGCCTAGAAGGCAAGAGGTCTGGGGCTTCTGGTGTTCCAGGGGGTAGGTGTGGAGGGGAGGTCCAGGGTGGCTCTTTTTGCCATTAGACATCAGCCTCCTCCCACGCTGGGGCACACCCCAGCTCACCTATGCCCTAGCCCAGAGACCCTTGGTGTGACAAGAGAACACACAGCCCCATGCATGTGGGCAGGTGCAGGGAGAGGATCCGGGGTGTCCAGCTGCTGCTTTCATCCTTTATCTTTGTCTGGAACCCTGTGGGGGAACTGGGTGGGAACCTGGCCAGCCCCGCTCCACCCTGTCCTGCCTGGGCGCTTGACTGCCTTTGGCATTCGGACGCTTGGACCACATCAGCATTCTGCATTCTGGAATTGGTGCTCCTGTCCTGCTCTCCAGCCCTGGTTTCCAGTGGCGTTCTCAGTCCATGAGTATAGCTTTTCCTTAGAAATGCACTTGCTGTAGATTTGCCGTGGGGTGGGGTGGACATGGGGCAGAAGTGGGTGTGTGGTATTTGCTCCCCTGGAACCCACAAACATACCTGGGACACCAAGAGCGAACAGTGTTGCCTCTGTGTGCCCACCATGGACCTCAGGGTTCTGCCGAATAAACTCCCTTAATCCAGGAGGAGTCTCATTCTGCATCAGCAGGAAATCGAGACCTCCAGATGAAACGTTCGACTTTCACCAGTTTGCAGAGGAAGAGATGAACAGAGCCTGGGCTGCAGGGCATCTGAACCTCTTCAACTGTTCTCACCCCCGTGCTCCCTTCCCCTCCCCCCCTTTCCCCATGTCTCCCCATGTCCGTCCCCCTCCCCCAGAGGAGCGTGCTGCAGCTGCTCAACTCCAAGAGCGAGGCGGTGCGCCAGTACATGGCCAGGCTCATCAACGCCTTTGCGTCACTTGCCGAAGGTGAGACGTCAGCCGGCCCCCCCGGGAGGCGCCAGCGCAGGGTGGCACGCTGCCTGGAGATGGCGCGTGTTTCCTTCTGCCTGTCATTCACCCAGAGTCTTTCGTGGAAATGAGTTGTGATCACGGTGGTGACATTTGCATCTCCACCACACTGGGTGGTTTTAGGAGGAAGCGTTCCGGTTCTGTTCCGGAGGTGTCCCAAGTCTATCGCAGCACCTTACGGGTGGATGGGTGGGTCAGGCATTGCCTGGAGCTTTCTGCCAAAGGTGAAATACAAGCAGTGAGCCAGTTAAAGCTCTGCTGCTGGCCGACTGTATCTTCTTAAAGGATTGGAAGATTCCAAAAATAACACACTTCCACCTTAAAGGGAAATCAAAATTATTTCGCAAAATGCCACCAACCCATGCATGGCAGGCGAGTGCCTGCTTGTTGTCTAGGCCCTGGCTATGTCCAGAGGGAGGAAGGGCTGTGGGCCTGAAGCATCTCTCCGGCCACCCCGGTTGTGGGGCATGTCAAAAACCCCAGTGAACCCCGCTTTCCTCCCTGTGGATCTTGCCATCAGACTCAGGCTCCCCGCAGGAACGTGGCAATGAATTACATTCAGCCCACAAGAGGAATGACTTGCCATTCGGCAGATAGTTGATAGGGTAAGATCGGCTCAGAGGAACGCTGTGCTTTGCTAAGTGTTGTGGAACGTGAGATGACCCCGCTCTCAGCCATGCCCGGCAGTTTGTGTAGTCTCGGAGCCGAGGCGTCCTCATGTCTCTCGCTGTCTCTTCAGGTCGCCTCTACTTGGCACAGAACACGAAGGTGCTGTGGCTGCTGGAGGGGCGGCTGAAGGAGGAGGACAAGGATGTCATCGCTCGGGAGAATGTGCTCGGAGCCCTGCAGAAGTTCAGCCTCAGGTGATGGCCAGCACCCGGAGAACGTAGCAGGACTGGGTGTAGCTGTTGAGTTTTAAATTTGTGTGTCAACCCAAGAGGCAGGGGCCCCTCTTGCCTAACCCTTTGGGAGAGGCGTGGCTTTGCAGGGTGGAGCTGGAAAGCTTGCCTGTGATCCACCAGCATCCTGCTCGGGGCTGCAGGTCAGGGGGAGCTGGTTTAGTCTCCCGCTACCACATGTTGCTTAGTGCCGGCCACGAGGACTCGTGTCTCCATCTACACACGAGGGCTAGAGGCACACACAGCAATAAGCCTGATCGAGCGCTACTCTCTGACCATCGCCCATGAGAACTGGGCCCTTGAATGGGCAGACACAGGAGGTTGAGGCAGCTGGTGCTGTGGCATCCTGGCTCTTTGTCCACCCAGCCAGCAACCCCAGAGCTAGCCGGAGCTCTCAGCCAGGTCACGGTGATGCCTCACAGCAGTGCCAGATCAGAAACTTGAAAGTTACACCATATCCAGAGCTTTCTTTCTTGATCAGCAGTTTTGTTTTATGTATCATCAAATTCAACCATGGTACCTTTCCACTGCCACGGAGCGAAACCTTGTCTCAGCTTGCAGTTGGCCCTCTCCCAGCCTGGTCCCCTGGAGTGGCTGGTCTCCCTGCCACTGGTTGACTGCTACAGAATGTCTTGTGTAAGTGGCTTCCTGTACCATGTGTGCTTCTGGGATCAGCTGCTTCCACTTGCAGAGTTCCTCCATGGGGTGTTGTGTGGCAGTCCTTCGCACCTGCTCGTTGCTAGGCTGTGCCCCGTTCTACATGAACCCTATCTTGTTCATACAGTCATCAGCTGATGGCCACTTGGGGTGTTTTTACTTTTTGTCTGTTACACTGCTGTGAGCACTTGCATCATGGTGTAGCACATTAATCCTCCACTGGCAATGCTGGCATCCTATAATGGGCACTGGTTCTAGTCCCAGCTACTTCACTTCCCATCCAGTTCCCTGCTATGGGAAAGCAGCAGAAGAATGGCCCAAGTGCTTGCGCCCCTGCGCCCATGTGGGAGACGTGTAAGAGGTTGCTGGCTTCAGCTGAGCCCAGCCCTGGCGGTTGCAGCCATCTGGGAAGTGAAGCAATGCATGGAAGACCTTTCTTGCCTTCTGTATGTTTCCGGTAGAATAAATCTTATTTCTTTAATCATTGTGTGGACATTCGAAATGTTCCTGGAAGATGGAATTAAAGGTAAATTTGGCCTAGGGTTAAGGCACTATATATATATTTTTTAAGATATATTTTATTATTTGAAAGGCAGAGTTACAGAATGAGAGAGGAAGAAACAGAAAGATCTTGTCTGTACTGATTCATTTCCCAAGTGGCCCCAGTGACCAGAGCTAGGCCAGTTCAGAGCCAGGAGCCAGGATATTCCGTCTTCCACATAGGTGCAGGGAACCAAGCACTTGGGCCATCCTCCACACTTCCAAGCTTATCTGCAGGCAGTTGGATCAGAAGCAGAGCAGCTGAGTCTTGAAATAGCACTCATGTGAGATCCTGGTACTAAAGGCAGCCGATTTATCTACCATACCCTAGCATCAGCCTCGGGCACTGGCTAAGAGGCTTGTGTCGGATGTCAGAGCGCCACCAGATTCCTGCACAGACCCTGGGAGGCAGGCAGTTGGGTCCCGGCCCACACGTGTGGGAGCCATGACTGGCGGTGCCAGCTCCTGGCTGCAGCCTGACCCCGCCCTGGCTAACGCAGCCTTTAGGGAGTGAGCCTGCAGACGGAAGCTCGGTCTGTGTATGTCTCTTAAATATGTGGTTCTTTGGGGGTGTTTGTTTTTGTTTTGTTTTGTTTTGTTTTTTATATATATAAAGAGGCTGTTTTGGAGCAAAAATACTTCTTAAATATTTATTTTTATTGGAAAGGCAGATTTACAGAGAGCAAAAGAGAAAGAAGGATCTCCCATCTACTGGCCGCAGTGGTCAGAGCAGTGGTCAGAGCAGAGTGATCTGAAGCTAGGAGCCAGGTGTTTCCCCCAGGTCTCTCCCACGCGGGTGCAGGGTCCCAAGGCTTTGGGCTTTATTCTGCTGTTTTCCCAGGCCACAAGCAGGGAGCTGGATGGGAAGTGGAGCAGCTGGGACCTGAGTCAGCGCTCATTTAGGACTCCAGTGCTGCAAAGTGGAGAATTAGCCAGTTGACCCAACACACCAGCCCCTAAAAATATTTAGGGGCCCAGTGCAATTGCCTAGCGGCTAAAGTCCTTACCTTGAATGTGCTGGGATCCCATATGGGCACCAGTTCTAATCCCAGCAGCTCCATTTTCCACCCAGCTCCCTGTTTGTGGCCTGGGAAAGCAGTTGAGGACAGCCCAAAGCCTTGGGACCCTGCACCCATGTGGGAGACCCAGAAGAAGCTCCTGGCTCCTGGCTTCGGATAGGCACAGCACTGGCCGTTGTGGTGACTTGGGGAGCAAATCATTGGATGAAAGATCTTCCTCTGTGTTTCTCCTCCTCTCTGTATATCTGACTTTGCAATAAAAATAATTTTAAAAATAAATAAATAAATAAAAAGGAAAAAATATTTAGAAATCCATGCAGCTTTTTCATGATACACATTTCCCATAAACATTTTGTCCCTTCTCCTGCAGGAAGCACTGTCTGCCTGTGCCTCTGCTAGGTGACTTTCCTGGAGCTTTGTGCCCTCCTAGCCATCCCAGTTACCCTGACCATATTAAGTATCCTAGGAGTGGATGTTGTGGCTCAGCTGGTTAAGCCACCTGTCACAGGACTGGGTTAAGCCCTTGCTACTCTGCACTTCTGCCTCAGCTCCCTGGCAGGGCTTCTGGGAGGCCCAAGTCCCCAGGTCTCCTCCACCCACATGGGAGACTGAGTGAAGCTCCTGACTTTACCCTGGCTCAGTCCTGGTTGTTGTTATTATCTGGGGACTGAACCAGCAAATGTAAGATCTCTGTCTTAGGCTCAGTGCAGTAGCCTAGTTGCAAAAGTCCTCACCTTGTGTGCACCAGGATCCCTTGTGGCCAACAGGGTATGTCCCAGCTGCTCCACTTCCCAGGCAGCTCCCTGTTTATGGCCTGGGAAAGCAGTCGAGGATGGTCCAAAGCCCTGGGACTCTGCACCAGAGTGGGAGACCTGAGAGAAGCTCTGGGCTCCTGGCTTCAGATTGCCTCAGTTCCAGCCATTGCGGCCACTTGGGGAGTGAATCAGTGGGCAGAAGATCTTTATCTCTCATGCTCTCTGTAAATCTGGCTTACCAACAAAAGTAAATAAACCTTTAAGATCTCTCTGTCTCTCCATCTCTCTCTCTATAATCCTGACTTTCAAATGAATAAGTAGGTCATTTAAAGAAATAATGAATTGTGTTATCTTGAGCCTGCACCTTTTCCCACCAGTCCTCTTCTAAACGCTTTCCTCCCATCAGCTGTGGCCATCATGTGACTCCCTCTCACTGCCAAGCGGAATGATGCTGGTGGGAGGCTGGGGAGAGGCAGAGGGAGGGATGGCAATGGGTATTGCTGCTGCTGTTGGCCAAGTTCCTGCCGCAGAGTAGCTGGATGGGAAGTGGGACAGCCAGGATGCAAAGTGGTGCCTAAATGAGATGCCAGCACTGCAAGGTGGAGGATTAGCCAGTTGAGTCAATGCGCAGCTCCCTAAAAATATTTCGAAATCTAAGCAGCTTTTTCAGATCATGTGTTATGTGATGAAGCTCACAGTAGTGAGTTGTTGGAAGTGTGGGACTCCAAAGCACTGGACAGGGTCCGCAGGACGATGCCGTGCTCAGATCCTGCTGACATTCCATGCTCATCCTTCGGCAGGGGTCTGCCAGGAGCCCTGTGTTCATGGGCCATACCAAACAATCAATTAGAAACATAACCTGCTCTGCATGTATTGAATTTCGAGTCCTGCCTGCCATTGGGTGATTTCATGGCCTGTCCTGTGGCTGGCTGTTCCCCAGCCCTGGCACCTGGTGATGAGCTGGCTTGTGACTGGCCATCCATGGGAAGTGCTCAGAAATCCAGTTAGCCATCATGGAGCAGCAGGTCTAAGCCACTCCTTCCTGGGAAGGCACACATCTGCTCTTCTGCTCTCCCTCCGGGGAGCCCACGGTCCATGCTGCGCTGCCTGTGGTGCTGGTTTCCCGGCTGTCCGTGGTGCAGTGGCTGAGAACAGCCCTAGCAGGCCTTCGCTCCCATGCACTACAGGCTCCTGGTGCTCACGCCTGCAGGTGGTCCTGCTGGCCTCACCATGGGGGCTGGCCAATAGGCGCACTGTGTACCACTCAAGGCTGGCCTGCACTGTGCACTTTGTAAGCCCTGAAAGTGGCACTGCGGGTCGGAAGTGAAAGATTTCTTGCTGTGTGTGTGACCCAGTGCCTTGAACCATCCTGCGCAGCTTCCCCACTGTAGTGCCTGGTTTCCACACTCTGTTTTTCTTTGTTTCCTCACACCTCAAAGTGCCAGAGGCCTTTTTGTAAAGTTTAGTGCTGGCTGTCAAATATTTCTATGGCCCTATTTATATCTGAGGTGAAACTCTGCTTTTTTGTTTCTGTTTTCAAGATTGGTCTAATTATTTGAAATGCAGTCACTGAGAGGGAGGGCAGAGCTTCCATCTGCTGGTTCACTCCCCACATGACGGCAATGGTGGTGGCTGGACCAGGCCGAAGCCAGGAGCCTCGATGCCACCTAGGTCTGTCCTGGGCCGTGCTCTGCTGCCTTCCCAGGAGCGTTAGCAGGCATGGGTGCAGAAGTGGAGCAGCTGGGCCTTGAAGCAGGGCCCATAGAAGATGCTGTGTTGTATAGTGATGACTAAACTCACTGCACCGTGACGTCAGCCCTGATTCTGCCTCTTACATACTAAGAAGGAAGCTTGCTAAGGAGGCCTCCTCTCTGGTTGTTGTTCGAACCCTCAAGAACATCCCCGAAAGACAGACTTTGAGTCGTTTTGGTTGTGTGAGTTTAACCATAACACACTTGCTGCAGCCTGGGGCCTCCACCCGTGTGTGTGTATGTGTGTGTGTGCCGGTTGGCAACCCCTGACTGCACTCCGAGCTGGCTAGGGCCTTGTTGATTGTCACCCTGGTCTCTGGTGTCGCCCTAGGCGCCGGCTGCAGACGGCCATGATCCGCGACGGCCTCATCTTCTGGCTGATTGACATCCTGAAGGAGCCGGACGGCCTGTCTGACTACACGCTCGAGTACTCGGTGGCTCTGCTCATGAACCTGTGCCTGCGCAGTGCAGGTCTCACACCCCTGCCTACCCCCGCCTGCCCGCCGGTTCTGGGGTTCCTGCGAGGCTCGGCTGGGTCGGGAGCCTTGCTCGAGGTCATGCAGCTCCATGGGGGAGCCCCGCTCTGTCCCAGTGGGTCCTGAGTTAGACGTGTCACATCCTGCGTGTGTCCCTAGGGAAGAACATGTGTGCCAAGGTGGCAGGCGTCGTGCTGAAGGTGCTCGCGGATCTGCTTGGCCATGAAAACCACGAGGTACTCAAGTCTTTGGTTGCTTTTACTATCACAGAGCTCGTGAGCAGAGAGCTGTTGCTTCGTCCCTCATTTACATTTGTTTTGTAAAGATTTATTTATTTTTTGTGCTCGCTTCGGCAACACATATACTAAGATTTTTTTTTTTTTTTTTTTTTTACTGGACAGCAAAAAGGAGAAACAAAGATAGTACATCCACTGGTTCACTCCCCAAATGGCTGCAACAGCTGGAGCTGAACCAATCCAAAGCCAGGAGATAGGATCCCGCTCTCAGTCCCCCGTGCATGTGCTTTGGGCCATCCTCGACTGAACTTCCCAGACCACAAGCAGGGAGCTGGATGGGAAGTGGAACAGCCAGAACACGAACTTGCACCCACATGGGATCCTGGTGCTTGCAAGGAAACAATTAGCCAATTAATTGAGCCATCGCCCTGGGCTGACATAAGTTTATTTTGGTGCAAAAAAAAAAAAGTTGAAATCCATGTTTTGTTTTTTTCATAAAAGTTCACAGAAAATGCATGTTGTGGGAAAACAATGCATGTAGTCCAGCACATTTTAAAATAACCCCACTGTTTGTTCTACATTTCCGTGAACTTGCTGAGCTCCCCAGAAGTGTCTGTGAGTGAGCATGTTTCCCTCCGAGACTCGGCACCATATCTGTGTGTTGCCAGGATACCGCTGCCCTCTAGAGCCCCCTCTGTTCGCGACCTCCCCATGTCACCTGCTCATTCCTGAAGTTGCACCCCTGCAGGAGATCCCCTGGGTCACACCCCACCATGTCGCCCATCCTGTCCCTCAAAGGGGACACTTGGGTTGCCTCCAGCTCGACTGTACTAGTGGTCCTCAGGGGGCAGCACAGCACCTGCCCAGGGAGTACAGATACCGGGCACTGCATTTTTTTAATCCATTATTTTGGCATATTTTGTTTTGTTTTATTTTATTTTTAAAGATTTATTTATTTTTATTGGATAGGCAGAATTTAGAAGGAACAAGAGATGAAGATCTTCCATCCACTAGTTCACTCTCCACCAGATGGCCACAGTGGCTGGAGCTGAGCCCATCTGAAGCCAGAAGCCAGGACCACTCTCTAGGTTCCCCACATAAGTACAGGGTCCCAAGGGCTTGGACCATCCTTCTCTGCCTTCCTCAGGCCACAAGCAGGGAGCTGGATGGGAAGTGGTGTAGCTGGATGTGAACTGGTGCCCATTTGAGATGCCAGTGCTTGAAGGGGAGAATTACCCCATTAAGCCATGGCACCAGTCCCCAAACTGGCAGGCATTAAAATGATGAAGTCTAGTGTTGGGACAAGGAGACGGGCATGGGCAGGGAGCTACTCTCCACTGCTGTGGACAGTGCAGCATGCTGTCCTCGAGAAGGGGTCTTGTCACACTCTGAGCCACCTGGCTTGCTGTCGAGGTTCCCTGTAGATAAGATGTGACTCCTGTCCCCTGAGATCTCACAGAGGTGTCACCATGGCGGAAGTGTTGGTGCTGTGGCTAAGACAACACCTGCCTTCATATCGTAGTGCCTGGGCATTGCTGGCCGAAGTCTAGCCTCCTGGGGAGGCAGCAGGTGATGGCTCAGGGCTTGGGTTCCAACCACCCACATGAGAGACTCGGGTTAAATTCTTGGTTCCCAGGGCCTGCATTGTGGTATAGCAAGTTAAGCTGCCACCTGTGACTCTATTGTCTTCTTTGGGCACCAGTTCAAGTTCAGGTTGCTCCTCTTTCCATCTTACTCCCTGCTAATGTGTCTTGGAAGGCAGTACGGCCCAAACACTTGGGCCCTGCTTCCATGTGGGAGACCCAGAAGAAGCTCCTGGCTCGCATAGCCCAGCCCCAGCTCTGTGGTCACTTGGAAGAATGAACTAGCAGATAGGAAATATTTCCCCACTCTTTGTTGGCCTCTCTGTGGCTCCGCTTTTCAGGTAAATAAACAAAGAAGCAAACAAACAAGATCTTTACGATGAAGTTTCTGACTCCTGGCTTTGCTCTACCCTAACCCTGGCTGTTATAGCATTTGTGGAACCAATGGCTGAGAGATCTATCTGTCCCTGTCCCTTCACCCACCCATTTCAAACGAAGAAGGAAGTTTATGAGCTAAGTACAAAGGCACCGTGTCTCGTGCCGTGGTAGAGGGTTGTGCAGGAAGCAGCAGTGAGCGTCTTGGTTGGAAGGGTCCAGAGGCTGAGGCCACTCTCCACGTGGGTGATCCCAGTGAGCCAGGCCACGCAGCAGGAACCGGGGCCGGGTGGGGCAGGGGCCCTCAGTGCTGCAGAGGCTTCACGGGGGGAGCGTGAAGGGTCCTGCACACTGTGCCGAGGCGCTGGGGCTTTGCAGCTGTGCTCAGGAGGTCTGTGTGTACTGGGGGAGGATCTGGCCATGGTTGAGTCAAACGCGGAAAGACCAGCTTGGGAGGTAGGATGTAGGCTGGGCCGCAGGCTCTGGCGTCTGAGCAAGGCCAGTAGTGATGAATAAAAGAAAATGGGAGGGAAAGGGAAGGGATACAGAGAAAGAGGGAGAGAGCATCAACACCTTCTCCGCAGTGTCACCTCTTAGGGGACCTCAGGGGCTCCTGGCTGCGACAGGTGATTGGTGAGCAGTGGCCAGCCCTGCGGGAGACACCTGCATCCCATATCTACTGCCCAGGGCTGTGTTCCAGCTTCCTGCGAATGCACACCCCGGGAAGGAGCAGGGGATGGTTCTCAGAAATCCCGAGACTGGAAATCCATGCATGGAATTCTGGGCTGCTGTCTGGCATGGCCCAGCCCATAGAAGTTCTCCCTTGTGGCCTTCCCGTGCCTCTTTGCATCTCTGCTTTTCAGATAAATAAATACTTAAAAAAAGTGTGTGTGTGTGTGTGGGGGGGGGGTTCCTGTCAAGAGTAACAGTAAGCAGCAGTGACATCAAATTTGCTAACCTCTGGGGTTGGCTGGGGTTGGGTGCAGAGTGAGACGTGACATGGAAGGGAAAGCAGTGAGGTGCAACATGAGTGAGCTTGGGGGTGGCGTGGACTCTCAGCTGCAAGTGTATGAGAGCCTCTCCATGGGGACGTTCGTTGGCTGGAACCCTGCAAGGCTCCAGTGCACGCTCTTGCCGGCCAGCTTGTCTGAAGTGCTGTGTCAACGGTCATTTGCTCTCCCATTGCAGATCCAGCCCTATGTGAACGGAGCTCTGTACAGCATCCTGTCTGTTCCCTCCATCCGGGAGGAGGCGAGAGCAATGGTAAGGCGGTATGCCCGGGCAATGGGTGTTAGAAGTGTTAGGGCAGGGGCTGTCTTGGCTGTTCTCCATGAAGGATCCACGGAGTTATGAACACCCTGAAATTATGCACAGTATAATGTGCTTGTAGTTTCTAGTGTGGAGAGAGCCTCTGCCTTCCATTAGATTCTTAAGGGGCACCCAACTCCTGAACAGGTAAGGACCCCAGTGTTCAGAAGTTCCCAGCAGGTTGCTGTTTGCAAAGTTGTGGGCACTCTGGTAGCTACAACATGGCTAAGGAAGATTTGTAAACCTGCGGTTCTTAATGTGGCTGGTGAGCAGCTTAATTTAATATGTTTACATTAGCTTTCACTCTTGAAGAAGTAAAGGAAAACTCAGGTGTTTTGTATCTTATTATAGGAGAACAAATGTTTCTAGAACAAATCCACAAGCTCCTAGAATTATAATCTTTTTCTTTACATCTTGTGAAACCAGATTAACAGTGTGAGAATTAAATACCATGGTGAAAGGATTAAATGACACACCCCACCATCAAAACACAAGGCTAAGCCAGACACCCAGAGAACATTCTTCTCATTGTTTTTTGCATACTTAAAAGAATTGCTAAGTCTTCTAATTGGTCATCTAAAATTATTTTTTAATTGTATGAATTATATTTTTGATAATTTTTACATATTTGATTAGGGTACAAAGGTTCAGGGCTAGAGGAAAGTGGGTAAAACCATTGTTTTGGCATTATCTACTTTCCGTCCTATATCTAGGGGAGAGGGGAGAGATAAGGAGAGAAGCCACACCCACCCACCCAATCATCCCAGGCTCCCCAGTGTGGGGCATGGTCCTGCTCAAGTGGTTTGCATAGTTCAGCAGTTCTGAACTGATGTTGGTCTTGCCACTCCAATCACGATAAAATCTCTCCAGACTCCACTGGCTGACATAGTCCACCTTAGAGTCTCCCTTTGCCTAGAGTTTCACTGCCAATTCCATGCTGGGGTAGTTGATCAGTTTGTTCTGTTCTCTATCCTCTGTTATGGTACCAAGTGTCCTCTGCAGGCTCCAGTGTACTGCCATATCCTCCATGTGCACCTAGATATGCTGCCCACTGCTCCATCCAAGCCACTGAGGAAGTCCAGCTCTGACACATGCACTCCACGGTCAGACCATGGAACCTGCAATTCTTTTCATGATTGGAGCTCTGAGTCTAGCAGTTCAATGGAGGGGGTCCCCACAAAAATATCATCTGAGGTGATTCCAGACTTGATTCTTGTGTGTGCTTCCCAACACAGGGTCAGGCACAGTCTGTTGCACACACTGGTAATTGCTAGGTCAGGTCTATCTCCAGCCCTGTCTTCTGTGCAAATCAATGAGTGCTGGAGCCCATCTGGAATCTGCCCACCACACATTCAACTCCCATGCAAACCAGTGCTGCCTGCTGTCCTGGTTCCCGTGCTTACCAGTATATACAGCAGACTGGTTCTGTCTGTCCCACATCCCATTCAGCTCTTATCCATATCAATGGGCATTGAAGCCTAAAACAACCCAGCCAGCCCCACTATCCAGTACACACATAGGCTGATGGGTGCCACTAAGTTTAGCCCAGCCAAACCCAATCCTGGTTCTCATGCTCACCAGTCAGAGTGGCAATCCAAGAGGAGGTACCCACTGTTTCCCTACTGGGCTCATTCCCACTCCTGGATCTTGCACTCTCTAGGTGGTACTGCAGTTTAGCTCAACAGGGTTTTTCCCTCTGTGCCAACATCTGTTAGCTGATGTTGTAGCAAAGCCCAACCAACTCTCACCCCTCTGGCTTATGCATGTACCAGTAGGTACAGTCCATTCAGCCTGATCCAGCTTACATGTAGGCCAACAGGTATTGTAGTCCTGCGGGGCCTGGACTGACCCCAGTCCCAGCTCTCACCCTCATCAGTGGGAATGGTGAACCACCAGGACAGCTCCCTGTAGCCTCCCTACTGGTTTCTCCTGCTCTCCCCTCAGGTCTCACATGTGCTGGTTGGGTGCTGTGGCCCAGCCCAGCCCACCCTAGTTCCAGCTCACGCTGGTGAGGTCTAGAGCCTAACCAGCCCAGGCAGTCGCCATTCCTGGTCCTAAAGAGAACTGGCTGGTATTGCCCAACCTAGCATGACCCACACACCATTCTGGCTTTCATATTTGCCAGCAGGTGATATGAACTGGCACAGCCTGGCTTGCCCCAGACCTGAGCCAAAGATAAGCCCATGGGTACCATAACCTGACCTGGACTGGGCTGCTCCCTTTCTTGGTTCTCACACTCACCTGCAGGGACTGTGACCCGACAGAGGAGTTGACAAGCTCCTCCATCAGAACCCCTCCCAATGCCAGATCTCGTGCACACTGGTGGGTCCATGGGCCAGACCTGCCTAGTCTACCTCCTGTCTTGGCAGGAACAGTGGCCTTTCCTGACCTGCCCTCACCCATTCTGGTTCTTACTGTTGGATGCTACAGCCTAGCCAAGCCTGATCCATACCCAGATACAGCTCACGCATAGCTAGCAGAGAGAGAGACCTAACCCAGCCCATCCTACACCCATCCTACACCCATTCTCACGAGCTCCATCGGGTACTGGAGTCTAGCACAGTCTTGCACAGCCCAAAACCAAGTCCACAGGCATGCCAAGGGAGACTGCATCCATGTCCAGACCAGATCACAGCCCCTATTCTGGCCCCCGTGCTCACCAGTGGGACTCCCAACCCAACTTGGGGTTCCCCTTAGCTCCCCAAGCAGGCCTGATCCTAGCCACGGATCTTATGCATGCCAGTGGTTGCTCTGACCCAGCTTGGCATAGCCCCTTCCCTATCTTGGCCTTTGCCTTCAGAAGTTGCAGCCTGGCCTCACACAGCCAGCCCCTAGTCCCAACTCTCACTGACAGATGCTGACAGATGCTGGCAGGTACTGTAATCTGGCCCTCTTCAGTCTGCTCTCATCCCTGGCTCATGTAAACCAGTAGGTGTGGCAACCTAGCCCAGCATGACCTGCACTCCCTCCTGGTTTCTGCACTTGCCAGTGGGCTATGGTTTTCTTGGCCCTGCCTGGTCTACCCCCTTCCAAAACCAATTCACACACTTGCCAACACCTGGGCCTGGACCACGTGCTCATCAGCAGGAGCTATGACCCACTAGGGGAGTTTCCTAGGTTCCCCTGCTCGGGCCACTCCTAGATCCAGATTTCATGCATGCCAGCGGGTGTTTGGCCCCCACCCAACATGGCCTGCCCCATCCGTCCCAGCCTTTGTATGAGCTAGTGCTGCCTGGCCCACCCCCACCCTGTTTTAGAGTGCTCATGCGGGTGCTACAAACTGGACTTGCCCCGCTTGTAATGGTGAACATTTATGAGTTCCATGGTCATGCCTAGCTTAGCCTATCACCATCCCAACTCTCAAGGTGACCAGTGGGACTTGTGGTTTCATAGGGTTGAACCTACATATCCCCCAGAATCCAACCCCAGACCTGGTCCTCTTGCATGCTACTGTTATAGCCCAGTCTAATGCCCTGATCTGTCACTCACTGTCAGGTACTGGGATCTAGCCCTGCCAGACAGGCTCCTAGCCATAGCTTGTGTGTGTCCTGGCCTGTGGTGGTCAGCCATGTTCCATGCTAACAAACCCTACCCAGGACTTCCATGTGTGCTGGTATATCAGTCTGACCTGTAAAGATCTTCAGGTCTCTCCCCTCCAAACCACCAGGTCTCAGTCCCCTTGCTTACTTGCAAGTACAGTGGGCCTGTTGTTGGGGGTCCCTCAGGATTCATTCCTCACCTTCATGTACAGTGGCCTTATCCATGGATGTTCCTAGGCAGTAATTCTAACCCCTAAAGACCCCAGAGCTCACCCACAAGCCCAGGAGCCTCCCCCTGCCTAGCAGCAGTGGATGGGGAGCTAGGATCCCCAGCAAGAGTTCTGGATTGGCACTGTTGGTTGCTGAGTAGCTTAATTTAATATGCTTATATTAGTCTGCACTTCTGAATCCAATTTGCTGCTGGATCCAATCACCCACACTGCTGCTCAGACTTACCTTGGTCATATAAAATTATGTCAGAATGGGGGTCTTGTGGTGTGGCAGGTTAAGCTCCCACTTGGGATATCAACACCGCAGATGAGTGCTGGTTTGAGTCCTCGCTGTCCTTCTTCTGACCCGGTTTCCTGCTGAAGTACCTGGGAGGTCAAGTCCTTCACTCTTTGCCACAACATGGTGGCAGGCTGCAATGCAACTCCTAGCCCCGTGCCTTGTCCTGGCTCAGCACTGGCTAGGACAGGCATTTGGGGAATGAATCTACGGGTGGAAGATTCTCTCTCTGCCCATTACTTAATTTGGTTGGTGAGTAGCTTACATTTTTTTTAAGTTTTATTTTTATTTTCATTACAAAGTCAGATATACAGAGAGGAGGAGAGATAGAGAGGAAGATCTTTGTCCAGTGATTCACTCCCCAAGTGAGGGCAACAGCCGATGCTATGCCGATCCGAAGCCAGGAGCCAGGTGCTCTTCCTGGTCTCCCACGCGGGTGCAGACTCCCAAGGCTTTGGCCAGCCTCAACTGCTTTCCCAGGCCACAAGCAGGGAGCTGGATGGGAAGTGGAGCTGCTGGGATTAGACCCGGCCTATATGGGATCCCCGTGCTTTCAAGGCGAGGACTTTCGCCTCTAGGCCACACCACCGGGCCCGAATATCTTAATTTACTATGTTTACATTAATCCTCACTCCTGAAGAAGTAAAAAAAAAAAAAAAACTCAGGTGCTTAGTACCTTATTTTAGCCGGACAAATGTTTCCAGATCAGGAAAAAAATCAACGGGCTCACATTCTGCCCAGTGTTCATGCAGGTGAAGGAGGCAACGAGGAAGTGAGACCTCAGGACAAGAGGCTGGAGGCGTGGTGGGGGCAGGTCCGGTGAGCAGACACAACCACAAGCTGAGACCATGAAGGCCACCAAGATGATCTGGGCTGGGACAAGGGCGTGTGGAAGGGGCAGGGCGCAGG